TTCCGTGGTGATTATTTTTAACTTAATTCTCACCCAAGGATATATATATATATTTTCCATTGATTTAGAGAGAGTGGAAGTGGGGGGGGGAAGAGGGAGGGAGAGAGAAACGACCGGACTGGTTGCCTCCCGCAGGTGCCCGACCGGCGGCCGGCCGGCGAGCCCACCTGCAGCCCAGGTGCGCGCCCTTGACCGGGAATGAACCCGCGTCCCTTCCCTGCGCAGGGCAGCACGCTAACCACTGGGCCGCACGGGCCAGGGCGCTTTTTAGACTGATTTAAACGGAGACACCATCCCAGAGATAGGGCCTAACATAGGAAGACGTTGCCGATGAATTTTAGATCCCCCCCGCCCCCCTTTACAAACGTCTTTCAGGATTTCATTTCTGATTAGGACAGGATAGATACTCATTATTTCAAACGTAAGCATTTCCCTTCTAATTTTATGGCCATTTCTTGTTGTCCTCAGCACAAATTAAGGCAAGTGAAGCAATTCTCAGACTGCTAAGCCCTGATTTTAGGGACACCTCCTCTGAAGCCTTGGAAAGACCAGATTCTTGGGCCCCTAATCTTCTTCTTGGTTTAAAAAAAAAAAAAAAAAAAGATATTTTAGGAGAGAACTTCTATCTTTATGCGTCCACGCTCAGAAAATAAATACAGAGTGCTAACATTCCAGGCATATGTCGATGCTGAAAAATGCTAGTTCTTCCAGACCTTCCCCTAAGAGGTTTGGAAAAAGGTCTAACATCCCACGGCATTAAGATAAAAAGATAAGAACTGGAACAATTTCCAAGAGCCAAGGTGGTTCTTTGGTGGAAAGCCTATGGGGCTGGCTGGGCTTCAGAATTTGCTTCAGTTCTTGAAGAGACTGGTAATGTCATTCTAGCTATGATTTTTATAACACACAGGCTTGTGTTTTCTTTTCATTAGTGGTTCTGCAGCGTTAGCTCACATCCCAGGCATCCTGTAGGCTCTGGCCCTGGGAAAATTACCTAACCACTAAGCAGGGGTAAAAAAAAAAAATAAATGCAAGCAATAATTGGCTTAATAGAATTTTTAATTTAATTTTCGAAAGTGAACTTTAAACAAGGCAAAGGAGCCTCAGGCAGAAATTTCAGTGCAAATGAAAACATTGCTGAGGCAAGCCAAGTATTTCAGTGGTTACCTAGAGACTATGACCTTGTATTAAAGGGCAGGGCACCCAAAACAGAGAGTGTGCACATTTGGGTAATGACTTTGTTAAAGAAAAATTGCCTAACTTCCTATGCAGAAGGGAGCAGTTCACGTCAAAAACTGATTTTAAAAGGCCTGACTGGGGACAGAGGACATTTTTAAATAACATCTCGGGGATATGACAGTAAATAGATTGTGGAAAACTCTGAAGGACAAATAGCCTGGTTTCTTTAACAAAAAAGTAGTGTAAGGACTATAAATGACGAAAGGGGAACCTATATGTCAAAAGAAACTTGAGAGAGATATTAACCAATTGCAATGTGTGAACCTTATTTAGATGCTTATTCAAAGCAAATAGACTTCTAAATATGATAATTTAGGAAATGTGACTACTAACTGGTTATTTTACTTTAAGGAAATATTAACAAAATTTAAGGTGTTATGCAGAAAAGAGTTAAGACAGCAGGCTTGCGGCCACTGTCTTTATGAAGATATGTTGCCAGGTTGGCCCTTGACTGGTGTCTGGCAACTTGAACTTCTGGAGGGCCCTTCCATTCCTAGAACCGATATGAGTGGCTCACTCTGCCTGACTGTTTGCACAGTCAATGTGCCTTATGCTGAGCACCTGCTTTCCTTCTGGGAGGCTAGAAAGTTGGTATATGCTAGGTAGAGGGTGCCTCCAATAAAAATCCTAACGCCTGTTGTCACAGCTCATTGCTCGGGAAATTAAGGGTGTCCTGTGTGACTCCATGGGAGAGGACTCTGGGGAGCTGGTGCCTGGTTTCCTCTGGGCTTTGCCAATGCACGTTTTTCCCCTGTTGATTTTTATTTGTATCCTTTCATTGTAATAAATCACAGCCATGACTGTGTATATTGAGTCTGTGAGTCTGCCTAGCCAGTAACTGAGCCTGTGGATGGTCTCAGGGACCCCTGCCACAGAAGTGATATTAGTAAATTTTTAAGGTTCTTTATCTTTGTTTTTTTTTTAAATTCTTACCTGAAGATATGTTACTGATTTTTAGAGAGAGAGGGGAAGGAGAGAAGGGGCGGGGAGAGAAAGAGAGAAAGATCAGTTGGTTGCTGCCCAAATGCACCCTGACCAGGAATGGAACCTGCAACCTTTTGGTGTGCGGAACAACACTCTGTCCAACTGAGCCACACCAACGAGGGAAAGCATCGTTATCTTTTGGAAATATATATTAGAATGTTTAAGAATAATGATAAATTTCCTTCAGAATAATCCAGGGGGTGGAAACGGTAGATAGGGTTATGGATGAAACTAAGTAACCCATATATTGACGGGAAGGTTCATTATACTCTCAACCTTTTGTCTGTGTTTGAAAATCTTCATAATTGAAAAAAAAAAAGTTCAGTTGCTTTATGGCACTGAAAGTGTCCATTCTTCCTTAGGTTTAGTCTTGTTCTGTCCAATAATTCCTTTAACATATTCCATAGAAGTGAAAAAAACTAGCATTCACCGAGGTGGGTACTTTTCAAGTATCATGGTCTATTTGCTTATGAAAAACAGGTAAGGAAGATGTTATAGATTAATCTCCAAGAAGAAGAAATTGATTGAGGCTCAGAGAGATTAAGCAGAAAGGAAAGTAACTAGTAAATAACAGAACAGGGACCCCCAAAGTAAGAAGAAAATAATAATGCAGATATGAACCAGCAGGTGTTTTGAAGGATTGGATTCTGGAATCAAGACTTTGTGGGATTTATTTCCTGGCTCTACAGTTTACTCCTGTGTGCTCCTTTGTTCTGAAAGGGGATGGTAATTATATGGCTTTGTAGGGCTGTAGAAAGGATCCAGGTGTTAATATATTGAGAACATCTAGTGCCTGGCCTGTCAGAGCTCCGCATGGGCCAGTTACACACCCTCATCCCTGAAACAACAAAACAGCAACAGCCTTGGGCTCAGACAGCACAGGTTATTTAGAATTACCTGGGAAGGAGGATGCCAAGGAGTGATTTTTTTCTGCGCATAATGTGAAAATACAGGACTCCTGAGTTCAGTTATTACTATGGACAAAGACACTGATTTGATTTTGCAGGGTATTTTGAGCAAAGAAAGAGAGTAAACACCCACACACACACTAGACTCAAATTTAGACTCCCTAGCCCCAAATCAAGGTACCTAAATATTCCTTAATGATACTAAGTACTCCAGATGCCACTCTTGGTATTTCTATAGCAGGAAGCCCCATCCCAAACACAGAAACTTGGTTTACATACAGGAAACTGGTGTCTGGCAGAGCTGAACCAGGAGAAAGTCGAACCGCCTTGAAGGAAGTTAGCTTCACATCCACCTGCTTCGAGGTGGCGACAGCTCTGGAAATGTCATATAACTCACTCTGCAGCCCTGTATATGGAAAGACAACGAAAAAATGTGGGAGTTTCATCTGAAAACGCAAAAAGGAAATTTGTTGCAGTATTTTTTAAGCCTATTATCATTAATACCACCAGTTTGCCACCGTGTATTATCCTAACCACTGTGTGTTTATATATGAATCATTATAACTACTCCCTATCTGATTTTCAAATTCTTTGCGGGGTTTTCAAGTTCCCATCACGACCGTGGTGATCATGATCGTCTATGGAATTTTCTGATGGGATCTCCCTTAGGGATTTAGAATTTCTTGTGGGAATTTTTATTTTTTTCTGACTTCTCAGACTGATTAGATAAGAGATATTTTATGGCTCTAAAAGTCTGTAATCAGCCGTACAGCTGGGAGTGTAAAGGAGCTTATATTTATCCGGCATGGAATTCTGTCTGTCTGTAAGGGCTCTCTTCCAGCTTCTTGGCTATGTGCTCATTGCAGAAATATCCAGGTATAAACTCAGTGTTGGTGAGATTTCTCCTGAGCTTAACTGACCCTGCTCCCACTCATGTGTCATAGCTGCTCGCTGTTATCTGTAACTCTGTTCAGTGCGTGTACGTCAAGCGCTGTCCTGGGCGCCGCTTCCCCGTGGGGCAGGGGAACGGTCTGGTCTGTTCCAGCAGAGCTCGCCGCGCGCAGATGAGCTGCTGTTTACGCAGACCTGGCTTGCTCCGCGTCTCCAGATCCCCATCTGCTCTGTCCCCTCAAGTCTGGGTCCTGACGGATGCGATCCTCTGGAAATGGACCTTCCTGCTTCCTTCCCTGTCTGACGGCTTATTACCTCCTCCCAGTAAGTCACTTTGTCTTGGAGAACATGTGACTGGGGAGTCCTGTTGAACTCAGTCTGATATCTTAGCCTCGGCCCCTCTCTCAGAGAGTTAAGTCCAAGAAAAGATAAGTAGGTCTTCAGGTTAATGCTATTAAAATTGTAGAAGCTGTGGCTAGCATCCGTGGTATAACACTGAATTAGTTCTAAGTAATTCAAAATACTATCTATGGGGGAAAAACAGGTAGTGCTAACCAAAGGTAGACATGGTAGTTCAAACAGAATTTCTTTCTCCTAAGTTAGACTGAACCAATTATTTCTAAAAGTCAGATGAGTCCTGGCCGGGTAGCTCAGTTGGTTAGAGTGTCATTCAGATACATCAAGGTTGTGGGCTCAATCCCCAATCAGGGCACATATAAGAATTAACCAATGAAGGTAACAAACTGATGCTCCTCTTTTTCTCTCTCCCTTCCCCCTCTCTCTAACATCAATAAACAAAAATTTAAGGGATTAACAATTCTTTAATAAAAACTTTTGCCCTGCTAGCGTGGCTCAGCAGTTGAGCATTGACCAGGAGGTTGTGGTTCGATTCCTAGTCAGGGCACACATCTGAGTTGCAGGCTTGACCCCCCAGCAGGGGGCTGCCGGAGACAGCCGATCAATGACTCTCTCTTCATTGATGTTTCTCTCTCTCCCCCTTCTTCTCTCTCTGAAATCAATTAAAAAATATATATTTAAAAAACACTTTTAAAATTATAACATATGGAAATATACATAAAACAAATGCATGGCTTAATCAATTATATATTTTAACTACGTACTACTAAAGCCTTAAAATAAAATTTATTAGCCACCTTCTATTTACCACCCTCCCAGTCACAATTCCTCCCTTGCCTCTAAAAACAACCACTATCATTTTTATGATAATCACTTCCTTGTTTTTTTTAATAGTTTTATTATCCAAGTGTGCGCCCTTAAACACTAGAGTTTGATTTTACCCTTTTTTTTTTTTGGCCTTGTAAATCTTTTGACCTACAGGTTTTCTTTTAATTCCCACCTCCCCTTTTAAAAATTCGATATATTTGTTAAAGAATCCAGTTGTTTGCTGGGTAGCATTTCCATGGCCTGGATTTTGCTGATTACCTCTCCACAGTGTTGCTGAGCATGCTTTTCAGTCCACTGTATATGTTACCGCTTTTAACAAGTGATTGTCTCCTTTCTCCCAGAAGAAAGGAGCTCCCACTCCCTACCTCTGTAGAAGGGGAGGAGTTGCTAATTGGATAGGCCAGATTCAGGGCATTTGTGGCACCACAGTTACCAGTGGGCAGGCTTCTGAGGCTTTCAGGTTAGTGCTATGTAGACAAGCTCTGTCTCATCCATGCAACTAACAGTGAGCCGAAGAGCCTGGCCTGTCTGGGTGGTTGTGTACTTTTTCATTTCTTGCCCTCGCATGGCAATCACAAGGAGTTTGGCTCCCCGGAGTAGGTTAGTGGATTAGTGCTGATTTAATATTGTTTACGGATGGCTCTTAGGTGAAAAATGAAAAGGCATCTCTGTGCAGGCTGTGCTGCGGCTCTGGACACCCAGCACCGAAGTAGCTCCACTACCGAACGCTCGGTCTCTCCAGGCAGCCAACTTGTGGCTCCGACTAGAGCCTGCACTGTGGCAAGGCTGCAATACATATGGCAATAGGTAGGCTTTTGGATAGGACTTGGGAATGTTATGAAAACAGCACCTTTTTAGGTGCTCTAATTAAGAGAGTAAAGATACTGATGACCTTTTAGAAGCTCTTCAATATTCCAAGCAGACTATAGTTATTGCCACAGAAGCCTGTGGCCAGGAGACCATGTCAGAAGCCACAGGCAGGGCTTGCACTGACTTAACATGCTCAGTGAGGGGCCTTGGCCACTTCAGCTAAGTCAGGTGCTAGTGATTCGCATTTGTCCTCACCGAACCTTCAGGAAGGCGGAATGAGTCCATCTAACTGACTATAACTGACTCATGGCTTTCAGCTTAGCTTTTTGGGAAAAGAATATTGGCAGTTACGGGGATGTTCTCTGAGTAATGATGGATTCAGGTGATTTTAAGATAGTAGGCCTATAGCACCAGTACCCATCCAGTTACTGCCATGATTTTTCACATCACGGGAGAGTTATATTCATTTCCACATTAAGGTAACACTGGTGAGAACATTATTCTGAATTGACTAAGCAAGTGTTAGAGCCATGCCTGCCTTCTAACCAGCGTAACGGGGTGAATGCGTGAAGGTGAAGGATGGTTTAGAATGTCCTCCTTAAGGTCTTTCTGAGCATTTGCAATCGATTTTATACAACATCTCAAGTCCTTAGGGAGTGAGTATGCGTTGGTCATTGTTTGTAGATGGACAAAAGGTTTTCCTTATGAGAGGGCTTCAGTTGTTTGTGGCTGAAAAAAATGATCAAACTTTATATTTCTAACATGAGGATTCCTGCCTTCACGTCAAAGGGTCAAGGAACTCATTTCACTGGAACAGTTACAAACTAACTTCATTGCCTGTATTAACCCCGAAACATGAAAAATTGAAAAAGTGATACTCTGTAGCTGAAAATGTTCACCTGAACTATCAGAAATTTTTAATCTGCTTCAGACTTGGCCTGCAGTTCCTGCACTAGCAATGGGGGCCATGCAGTGTTCTCCTTGGAGCTCACACATATTCTTTCCTTGTAAAGTCATGTCAGGATATATATGCGGATCAGCTGATTATCTCTTTGCAGAATTATCTGCTTCAGAAAGAAAAGCTTACCTGTTGGCTTAGATGTAAATTAGGGTTATTTTAAAGTTATAGCAGAGGGTTAAGAGCAATAAGGAAAACTACGCCGATAGTCATTGATATCCTTATTACAGTAACAGTAAAAAATCACTTAAAAGCAGCCCCATTTAAATGGCTTCTACCTACCCCAAAGCCAAGCCTCATTAGGAGTCAAAACAAGTGTTCTTACAAAACTGTAACACATGAATTGTAAGTACATAAAATGTATGGATATGTATTTGTGCATGTGTGTGTATATATACCATGTATATGAAATATGGTATATCTCTCTATCTGATAGATACGACAACAAGGGTTTACTAATGACCTAGTGTCTTGAACTTGACCTCACCTTGTATTTGAAAAACCTGGTCCCAGTTGATAACATCACGCTCCTCCAGCAGCCGCCGGTAAGCTGCGACGTCCTTGTAGAACACGGCATAGGCGTTCGTGTAATGGTCCAGGTTATCTGTCTCAGCCTAGGTCAGAAGACACATCCTAGAAACACACCCTCTAGTAACTGAAATCCTAGATCGAGCAGATACCATTAGCTGTGCACGTCTAGGTGATTTCCATTAGCAAAATTAGTCACCTGTAAACAGTGGCTAAGTGACAACGTGGCTAATTCACTGCAGGGAGGGAAAGCAGACGTTCGGAGCCCTCGCTTGATTATGTCTTCTAGTATTAGGGAGGTTTCACGACATGTATTTCACATATTTTCAGGGTTTTTAGTTTATTTGTAAAAATAGAAAGGGTGTAACTCAGGGGCCCCACCGATAGGAATTAACTAGAACTCTCAGAACCTTCCTGCTGTGGTCGGGGCGGCACATCTTTGATTGCTTGAGCCCCTCTTTGGCCTCAGAGGCAGAACAGAGCCGATGCTGTCCTTTTCAATGTTCTTCCATATTCTCGCTCATGACCGAAGTCTAAGGAATCACCAATCCAGTCGAAACACTGGTATATCCAAGTGTGTGTGCTGCATGCTTCCAGAGATTGTGAAACACTAAAGACACAGCTTATTGAACACATTTACACTAGAGGTTTTCCATATGCCCGATACTCCAAAGACCGTCAAATGAGAAGCTAATGATGAAATACGTAGCATTGTACGCTAAAGTATATGGCTGTGATGGCTATAATATCCCCTTTACGTAATCTTTTCCTTCTGGTTGATGCCAACTCTTACTTTTTTGCCTTTCAAAACTGTACCTCTTTCTGCCGCTGAGTGATAACAGCTTTGAAGTCTGGCCACGAATCCAACACCACTTCCTTTTGAAAGGGATTCCCCCGGTTTATGTTCATCACCGCTCCGTACACCTGAGCCAGAAACCCAGAGAGACAAGCCGACGGCATCAGCTGTTTCAGTCGCATGTTCCCCTTCTCACCTCCTGTTCTACCGCAGAATCATGGCCACCGGGGGGGAGTTACACATATACACACAACATACACACATACAAACTTCTCTGGTTGTTTCATCAGTGAACATGAAAACTGCCAAAAGGTCCACGAAAACCTAAGAAAACTCGCCCTAAATTGAGTGTTTTACAGTAAAACTGTGAGATACTAAATCAATAGGCTTACTGGATGGGTGCTGGGCACGTAGGTCAGCAATACATATTATTGAATGAATCAGAATCTCTCGGGTGGGTTTAGGGCTCATACATCTTTTAGAAGTTCCACAGGTAATTTTGATGCTCGACTGCTTCTGAAGTCTATTACACGATCTAAAAACAACCTGTGAAATGTAACCCCTCCTTCAACCCTGAATTACCATTAAACAGCACTTGATGGTGAAATACACCCCCCCTAACGCTCCCCTGCTACCAAATTTGATGGAGCAAGGCTTTGCAAGCGTTCCCTGAGGGTTGTAACTGTGTCTTACTCATTAGTACATCCATGGAGCCCGACCCAGCTGATCAAATGCTTTTTGACTAAACAATACTGGATAATAATATTAGAATCCTCTGTGGCCTGTTGCATTATTTTCTCTCCTAAGATTCAAAGATGTCTGTCCTACAAAACAACTTTCGTATGCTACCTGTGAGCTTCTAGAGTAGAGAAAGCTGTGGTGGTAATGAGGAGAGCTGAGCTCTAGGCCAGTGCTCATAGATAAAAACTGGAAACAATCTGTCCAACGAAAGTGGAAAAATAGATCAGTTGTGGCCTATTCATACTCTGCATAACAAAATTGTTGAGTGAAAGAAGCTAGATACAAAAATACTTCTTCTGTGATCCAATGTATATTATATTTAAAAACATGCAAAACTAAATTACGGCTTTAGAAGCCAGGGTACTGGTTACTTTTGGGGAGCTGGGAAAGGTAGCGATTGGAAAGGAGTGTTGGGGGGGGAAGAGCAGCCTGTCATGTTCTTTCTTGGAGTGGAGGTTACACAGATCATCGCTTTGTGCAAATTCGCTGGGCTGTATGTTATGAGCACTTTATATTTTTTATTCTCTAAAGGACATAGTGTAGCTGAAGGGATATTTGGAAAGTGTTGTTGAAGAACCAAAGGCAAGCATTACACAACAATGAAATAATGGAAGTAGGAAGAGGAGATCCTGGGGTAAAGAGAAAATGAGAAATCGGGGGCACCAAGCTAAAGAGATCGCACAAGGGAGGCATTGATTGGTGCCTACGTGTCTCATTCCTTTAATTGTTTCGAATGGGGTAGGAGAGGCAAGCATTTCAAAGAACGCTCCGTTTGGGATCTGAAAACCTGGATGGAATCTGAACTCTAGTGCTTAGAGGCGGGGAAGTGACTTGGTAGCATTAGCTGCCAAATTATAATATAGATTTCTGCCTAGTCAGAGGCAGTAATATTAGGTTTTATGAAGCTCAAATGAGGTAGTGTGAAAGATATTTTTAAAAATTATACATGCTCTTCAGATCAAGTCAACTAAACTGAACTCAGAAGCCTTTAAAAATAAGATTTGGCCCGGCCAGGAGTGGCTCGGGTTGAGCGTCGACCTAGGATCCAGGTGATCAAGGTTTGATTCCCGGTCAGGGCACATGCCCTGGTTGAGGGCTCGATCCCCAATGACTCTCTCATCATGGGTGTTTCTATCTCTCCCTCCCTCTCCTTTCCTCTCTCTGAAATCAATAAAGATATATATATATATAAATTTAAAAATAAGATTTGAACAGATAGGGAATTAATAAGTAATTGTTGTATAAAGCTCCCAGTGACCAATCAACAACAGTTTATTGAGTAATTATTATGGGCAAAGTCCCATGCCGAGCCCTGTAGGAGGAATAAAAATTCCACATCTACACCTAGGCCCCTGGTGGCGAGGTTGTGGTGGGAAAAGCAATAGACATGAAATCAAAGGAACTAAGATTCGACTCTACTTTACTTGCTGTATTACCTTCTTTGAGCTTCAGTTTATTCATGTTAAAATGGGTTAATAAAAATCTTACGGCCCTGGCCGGTTGGCTCGGTTGGTTGGAGCACTGCCCGGTACACGGGTGGCAGGCACATTCCCAGTCAGGGCACATACCTAGGCTGAGGGTTCGATCCCCAGTAGGGGTGGGTACGGGAGTCAACCAATGGGTGTTTCTCTCTCTCCCCTCTCTCTCCCTTCCACTCTCTCTAAAAATCAATAAAAACATATCCTAGGGTGAGGATTTTTAAAAAATCTTATGAAATTGTTGGAAGGCTAAAAAAAAAAAAAAAAAATTCTCTGTGTGCTAAAGTACTGTGCAAACATAATTATAATCCAAGGGCCCGTCATTTGTCTTGATGATAACATCTTTCATGGCCCTGTGAAGCTCAACGAAACCTTTTTGGTTCTCTCTGGTAAAAGCGTTAGTCAAACACGTCGTCAAAGAAATGCAGCCAGTCATCTCGTTCCAGTGTCCACCTCAGTGCCAGCGTTCAAAGCGGGAACACTTATGAGCTTCGGCTGCGTGACCCCGCATTATCCGCCCAGCCTCCCACCGCACACCGTGTGAGCACAACCAGTAGGGCAAGCCCGCTGCATTTCATCAGCCCAGTAGAGGGCAGTAGGCCTTTCCTTAGGTTGTTTTTGTTCAAAATTTAGTGTAGATAAGGGTTATCCAAGGTGCCTGTTAAACATACAGGTCTCTGTACAAATTTTAGTGTAACTAAGGATTATCCTCGGTGTTTGTTAAACGCATGGGTCTTGGTCTCTACCTTCAGAAACTCTGATTCCTTCCATCTCTTCTAGGCTATTAGCAGCCGCACATGGGAAAACCATTGTTGTCGAAGCTCTTTGCTCAAGAAACTCAGCCCTCAAAGACAATTTTAGTGTGACTCTATATCTTTTCTCCCGAGTGCTGAAAATATTTCTAATCTAAGTTCCTCCACAGGAACTCTTTACCAGCAAGCCCTCATAGACCTTTAGAAGGCTTCAACAGATAGAGGCTTGATGACCAACAATGCCACTGAAAAACTTCAAAAAATAAAGATTTTGACATAAACAGGAAAAAAAGTTTATAACCACCCCTAAACTTCAGTTCTGTCGTGTACCTAGGTCCTGTTCTTACCGGCAATGCCACCCAGTCCACACCGTTGTGCCATTTAAAAACACTGAGAACTCGAGTTGACCTTAAAAATAATCTAGTCCAGCATTTTTCCTGGGAAGCATCTAGAGCGACTGCCAAGAATGTAACTGTCTGGGCCGTATCCACAACCCAGTGAATCAGTCTCCAGCAGCTGTGTGTTTAACAAGTGCCCCCAGAGTCTTATCACCCAAAACTTTGGGAAACAGTCACCAGTCACACATCACTTTCACAGATTAATACAAGAAAGAAATGAAATAAAACTCTTAGATTTATAGTACCTTGAGTGATTCAGGAAAATGACTCTTCAGCATTTTTTCCAGTGTCAGTAATTTGGTAGAGCAGGCTAGCACCAACATCTTCTCCGGAGCTCTAGCAATTAGAAACTTGTTGGTATATATATTTAACATGCCTGTTAATCTTTTAACCCATCCGGGGAAACCAGATAACCCATCTGATATCCAGTGTCCTGTGGCTGTAATTCTGAATATCATTGCTCTGTCTGAAGACCGAAGGAGGGGGAAGATAGGGAAGCACTGGGAAAGCACCCCGACATGGAAAGCACCCAGACATAGAAAGTATTGATGACCCAACCCTGGAAAAATGCATCTGTACTGGGTTAAGTCTCCCTTTTACACATGCATTGTACTCTGAACTCCTCCTTCAGGATACAGTAACAGTTGTGAATTTACATTTATTGGTGTTTTCTTTGATTGAAGTCTATCTTAAGTAGGCTGTGAGATGCATGAAGGAAGGGCCCATGTTTGCTGAGAGCCCCACTGTCTCCCCGGCACCTACCACAGGGCCTGCCTGGCGCATTGCAAGGAACATCCTAAGTAGTTGTTGATGAAGCTCAGGGTAAGAATCTTCACACTGTGGGACAAAGACCTGAGTGGCTCAGGTATCGGGTTATGAGGAACGATTTGGAGAGAAACAGCTAGATTGCACTGAAGAATCCTGTGTGAGCAAAGGCTGAGGCTCGTGCCAGTCAGATAAAATTAAGGCACAACAACAGCAACGCCTACATGTAATGTATGCAACTTGGTCCATGATGATGCAGTGATATTTTCCAGATTTGGGGGCTCCGCTCCTCTGCACTTTCCCCCCCCAAGAAAACTAACATTCCAATTGGGTCTTGACTGAATTAAAGAAAAAAGATACTTTTTTCCATGTTCAGTGTAGCCGAGCTTTTGCACCTAATCTTTGCAGCCAGACACTAGGAAGGCAAATAGAAGTCAGCTAGACACGAGGACCTGGTGTTACTGGGCTGCGGGTTACGCCTGAACAACACATTTCCCATGCGGCATCTCTGTGTGGCCATGAGATACATACTCAGAGTGATTGATGGTGATTTATTTTAAAAATCCACTGTAAAACCCTGTCACAGAGTTCATGTGAGTCTGAGCTTTTAAGAGGCATGTTTCTGATGACCAAGCTGTGTGGGCCCCGGTTCAGTGAGTGGGGCACCCGGGCTGTTGGCATTCTCTACAGGAGTCAGAAGACAGTTAAGGGTCAAGGCCACATGAGAAAGTCTGGGCCACAAGAGCAAGTTCCAGAGTTCAGGCTGAACAAAGAAAGGAGAAGTGGAGCCACCATCTCCTCACCCCTGTATCTGCTTCAACTTTCACTTGCTCATGCCACCTCTGAATAAAACTTTAACTTCTTAAACACATTAATTTATTCCAACTCAGTGCCTTTTGGGAGAAAAGGAAATAAAAATTATTTCAAGGGGAAGTTGACCATGTATCTCCTATTAGGTGTGATGTCCAGAGATCCTTTTATATCCTAATTGACAGCACAGTAGCTAGTGCAAAGAGGAGGAAGCCTGAGCTTTTTTTCTTTTTGCTTTGTTTGTTCCCCAAAGGATCTACAACCGCTTATAAACATAGGTGAAAATATATCAACAAAAATTAAGTTTAAAATAAAGCTCGGGCAAGGGTGAAACAGAGGTACCAAAGTAACATGGAGTTGAGAGAGAGGTCAGCAGGCAAAGCATGTAGAGATCAGCCCCACACATAGAGCTGATCGTCCTCATATGTGGGTTCCGTGTTTGTAGAGTCCCCTGCTTGCTAATGTATTTGTATCCCCCTCAATCAATTCTGACAGTGACTTTGCAGCCATTTGTGGGCATGTGCAGAGCAGTGAAGACTTGAGGTCTCTCAATAACCCGCATTTTCAGTTAAAGTTGGTCTATTTAGTGCCAAGGGTTTTTTGTTGTTTTGCGTTTTTTTTTTGGTTTTTTTTTGCTTTTTGTTGGTGATTTCACTGTTTAAAATGGCCCCATGCCCTGACCAACGTGACTCGGTTGGTTGGAGCGCCATCCCATGCACTGAAGGGTTGTGGGTTTGATTACTGGCCAGGGCACATACCCCAGTTTCGGGTTTGATCCCCGGTCGGGGTGCATGTGGGAGGCAACTGATGAACGTTTCTCTCTTTCTCTCCATCTCCTTTTATCTATCTCTAAAATCAATTTTAAAAAAAATAAATAAATAAATGGACCTCGAGCATAGTCCTTAAGTACTGGTTAGTGCCCTAAATGCAAAAAGGCTATAATGTATCCTAAGGAGAAAATACGTGTGTTAGAGAAGCTGACACGAGTTATGATGCTGCTGGCTGTGAGTTCAATGATCATAAATTAACTATATATGTGAAATCACGTGTCTTTAAACAGAAATATAGTTTGGTCTTGCTTTTCTATCCTATCTGAAAAAACACTTCCTAATTAAAGTTTTTAGTCCATTTAAAAAAACAACAACAAAAGAAATATACATACAACAAGGTTACTTGTTGATCTGCTGATGAAGATGCCAGGACCAGAGGTTCGTGGGACCCTAACCCTGCCTTTATTTCCCCCTAGGAGCAGCGGTTCAAACTTCGCTAAGACAGTGCTGTTGCCTGTGACTTTATTGAACACAAGGGCGGTGAACAGTGAGAATCAGCTACTTGCAGGAGGTGAGAGCCCATTTTTTACTCTAAGCTTTCTGGTGACTAATGCAAAGAGAAAGAAACAGGATTACTTACGTGATTCAGTTTCCCACTTGATTGTCCACTTGTACCATCTCTAAATGAAGCCCAGCTGTCTAGCTTCTAAATATTCAAAACCCGCCTTGATCTGGCTTTAATATACCTCTCTAGACTCAGCAGCTCTTTCAGCTCGCAAACAAATGACTCGGGGTGAGAGGTTTTGATGACATTGAAATCAGGGTCATTGCTCCCAGGGGTTCACACAGAGAGATGCTATCATTCATGAAAAACATTGGGGAACAGCCTTTCAGTAAACAGTGATGAATTTCATAAGGATCTTTCTTTCTAAATTAAATGAAAGGATAATTTTTAAAGGCCACAAACAGAATACAGAAATTCTCATAGGTGCAGAAAGTATTTTTTACACATTATTGAATTATATTAGAAAGTCATGATGACAACTATTTAACTCTGAAAGCTACAAGATCAGAATATCATATCCTCAGCACTCAGTTATAAATTCCCCATAATTAATATGTGTTCTAGAATTGGAAGGTAAATGTTTGTAAATCCTTTAGCCAAACTCTTCTCAACATGAACTATTTGTGAAGGGAATTATCATGCTCATGTAACTTTTAGAAACTGAAGTTTTTTCAGGGCAGTGTGTGTCAGCACACAGCAAGCACCTAAAATATTTTATTCATATTAACTAGACAATGAAACCACGGTTCTCTCCTGGGAAACTTTTAATTTTTAGAAATAAATAAAACAGAAGGTCTTGTGTTTATGGAGTAATACACCATTTGCAGTACAATAGTGGATGCTTGTTAATGAGGAAAGAAAGTTTCTTTTTTAAAGCACCGCAATCCAATGCTAGTAATTATTTTTTTTCAGACAATAGGTTTTTCTGCTTAGAAAGATTCCTGTCTTATCTGTTTCTCCACGTTTACATTTCGCAATGTTTGTTTTCCCCATGTCAAAATTGAAGAGTAAAAAAACCGAAACCAAAAACACCGAAACCCCCAAAACATCATTTCCTCCAAACCTAATTAAATGTATTCTTCCTATACAATGTTGAATTTCACCTGCCTTCTTTCCGTGTCCCCCGTTTGTTCTTGCATTAAAACCAGTGATCTGAAATCTATTTACTTTAACGAATAACTGCTTACCTGGTGCCCAGAGGGTCGCCTGCGCCTGGGGCCTCTCACGGTGGCAGCAGCAGCAGCTCTTTCTCCCCAAATGCTTTGTCCCGCAGCCAGCGGACAGGAGGGAGAGAGAAGGTGCCACACCTGTGGGACAGGGGGCGTGTCTGGTGCCAGGTGAAATTGTCACGGGCGCGCACAAGCGCTTGCACTTCACCCCTTCCCTTCTGTCGCGCTCAGTCTTAGCGTGTAAAAGCCGCTGGGTACTGATCTTGCTTTGGAGACGCATTTTCTAGGCACAGGTCCTGTGTATCCGGCAGGATCCCAGGGGAGAGAATAGAAGCAAGCGGGGCCTCGGCACAGAGGCTCAGGAGAGTAATGCGGGCACGCACCCGTAGGTATATTTTTATCTCTTCCAAAGAAAATGGTTTCGCTGCCCTAAGCTTCCGAGGCTGGAGAGGGCCATGTCTGGAGAGGATGCTTGTGAAGTTGGGAATAGTCTGGAGAATTTGCTGACCCTGTAATTCTGAATGAAGGGTCATTCAGAGCTTACTGGCCTCCTTCAGACGGCTCTCACCTCAAGCACCCTGTGAGTGTTTGCATGGGAGCCTCAGCGCACAGCACAGGGCCTGAGTCTTGGATAATGAACAGTGCGGATGTCCCAAAGGCACGCGGGGACTGCTTCAGTTTGGATGTGGCCACGTGGGAGGATACTGTTTACCACGGTGTGTCTCCTAAAGTCAAGTTCAAGCGAAGAGGTGGGTTAGGGCATTGTTGACTCTACTTGGAGATGCTGGTTTTAAGTAATACAATGGGCAGTTGGTAGTTGAAAGTGACTGGAAAAATTGTGTTCGAGGACAATTACCGGACCTCAAAATAAGTGTTTTTGATCCTGGTTTATTGATAACTTTTTTTTTTTTTTTAAGATGTTACTGAGATGACATACACCTGTGTGTATCCCTAAGGCTCCTATATAAATCTAGTCTTTTCTAAATATGATTTGAGGAAAATTGATTTAAAAAATGAACAGAAGCTGTTTGTAGAACAGAATCTGTTTTAAATATAAAGTACAATACCAGAAAAACCTTAAAGCTAGGGGTGTCAAGTTATTTATGGACTCACAGAGACATATGCATGTCCTCCCAGACACAGGCTACAATCCTATTCTGGGAACAGGATGTAGCCCACGTCTGGGAAGACATTTATATGGCTACATCCAAAACAGAAACTTCTCCTCTTTTTTCAAAGTTCTTTGCTCTCTATAAAACATCAGAACTAATTAAAATAGTTGCTTTTTGCCATTAGGAAAAGTAACCCAATAAGGCAAAGCTATTGCTTTTCCAGGAAAACTGCATTGGTTGAAGATGATAATATTTGAAGTGTGTCCATAAACTAAACTGAACTTTTAACTCCGAGATTTGTAAGGAAAAAGGGTGGGGATCGGCAGGGGGGAAGGAGGTTACTAATTCAAGATAAATTTAAAGAAATTTTCTTCTATAAATCCAAGTGAACAGATTCATGATACATGTTATCACTATACCTAGAAAAACAAGATGCATTTGTACATTGTTGTAACAGGATTTTATTCATCAGCTCCAGTAGCCCCTTGTATTTGTAGCCTGTCAGAAAATTCCTAAGAAGTCAAAATTACAATATCTATACTTTTTGCTTCCTAATTCTATTACTTGCTGTTTGAGGATCTTAAGACAGTTACTTAGTCTCCGTATGCCTCAGATTCTTCACCTGCAGGATGGGGATAATAGTGGCTGTTATGGGGGTTTGTCCCCATCATGTTAGTAGGATTAAACATTGGCATAAGTGTATGTGTACGCGTCATGGGCTTAGAATAGTGCCTGGCACATAGCATACATCAATAAGTGTCAGCCATTTTTATCACTGTTATTATTGATATATATTCCTGCTGTCCCATTTGAAAACCTACATTAATTTTAAGGACCGCCCTGGGAGTATGAAACGGTGAAATTGGCTAAGGCACATTTATTTCTATTAATTAAAAAAATGAACAATGTCATTTAAAAAGTTTATAGTAGTTCTTTTTAAAAAATGACACTATTTATTTTACTTTTTTTTTATGTCTTTATTGATTTCAGAGAGAGGAAGCGGAGATGGAGAGAGAAACATCGATGATGAGTCATTGATCGGCTGCCTCCTGCACGCCCCCTACTGGGCCTTGAGCCTGCAGCCCAGGCATGTGCCCTGACCAGGAATTGAACCCTCATCTCCTGGATCAGAGGTCGATGCTCAGCTGCTGAGCCACTCTGGCTAGGCTGTGGTAGTTTTATTGAATTTGGGAAACATCCCTCCTTCCTCTCCATCTTTGTCCAGTTTTAATAACTATACCCAATCTTCAGATGTGGCTGCTACAGTGATTTCATAGCCTTGGTGACGGCAGAGGTCGCTTGAATGAGAGCAAACACGTCGGCCAAGAGAAAGTATTTCTACAGTGGCTTAGTAGCGAGGGCCTACATCCAGTGGCAGCGACTCTTAACGAGAAAAGCTAGTTAGAATATGAGAAGGGCTCACTTTCAAAGTGGTAAAGTCCAAATGGGAAATTTGAATTTCTCCCTGCTATTGCTCTTTCTTTCCTCACTCTCTCCTGCAAAGCTATTTCTTGACAATGACTGAAACAGGAGAGGATTTAGGCTTATGTCTGGAAACTGAGCCAACCCGCATGATTCAGATACTAATTTTGACAGGTGCACCTGCATTTATTTTGGTAAACTGAGAATTCCAAGCAATTCTATCCAACCAAATAGAAGAAAGTAAATCCTTTAATTTTAGGTTCCAGCACAGGTCATATTTAAACAAAACCTGTTTGTTAAACATATGCCCATTGGAGATTTGGGGGAGATGGAAGGGCTCACGTAAAGTAAGAGTTTTAAGGGACTGGCAGTACACTAAGGTTCTGTGACATATGCGTACCGGCTGCCCAGCCCCCTCCATACACACAGCTTATACCAGTTTACCTTCCTTCCTTCCGCATTACTGGGGACTATTTTCCTGTATGTTCAGCAACTTTCCCTTTTAGCTCTGATAGGCGAAAACATTTTGCACTTACGTGAACATCTTTCAAATACTTATTGGGTACTTCTCCATCTTTGAGAATTGACCACTTTCCTACTGGTATTTAATGTTACTGATATTTTAAGTTTCTATTTTTATATTTAACTTTATTTGGCATAAAGTAGGAATATTAACCACTGCCCCTCTGTCCCCATCTCTGGTGTAGTTTTCTTAAAACCATTTATTCAATACTTTTTCTGCATTTTACTTGAAATGCTATCTTTATCATATGCTACGTTTTTACACTGTATACCCTCCACCCCAAAATATGTATTTTTAGCATTTAAAGTTTCCGGCATTGGCACTTACCCTCTCCTTGCTGGAGGTGTGTCATATTTGGCATGGACTGTGCATGTGAGAGCTCAGGTGGGTGTGGATACTACATAGGAAGACGGCCTTTTGAATTACTGGGACCACGTGCAGTTGAATTTTAATTTTATTTGGGTCTGTAATTAACTGTTAAATTATTCATAAAGAGTACACCAAAATGCAGCCTTTAAAGAAAATATCATGTATGTTTTGAATCGCCTGCTACCTGCCAGAAGATACTGTAGATCTCTCAAAATTAGTTCACATGCTTTTCAAAGCTACAAGAGGGTAGTATGACCAGTTCATTCATGAAGAATTACCTCTCAGCAATAATGGTAAGTAAAAGTTCCAGCTGATGTCCAATAATCTGTTGAACAGATGTTCTGAAACAGCAGGCTTTTAATGTACCTCCCCCTGCACGCTATTGTAAACATCATGATTAATGATAAACATCAGTGAGTGAGGCTCCATTAGTCACTCTAAAACCGTGATGCTGGAAGTTTCCAAGTGAAGAATTTTTAAGTCTTAAGATATTTTGTAAAATCAGTCCAAAATACATAAAAATATTTTCTTTAAATGCTGCAGTACAGGTTTCCCTTATTGAAGACATTCTTTCCCTCTAAAATCCATTAATGTCCTTTTTGACTTTTACTTCCTAAGAGGACATTGCTTTTGACCCTTTTACTGAGCTGCCCGGGGTTTCCTATGGCGTGTGGTCTCCCTCACTCCAATGAGCATTAAACCGAGTGTGTTCAATGAAAGCTGTGTTCCTGGTGGTTTCTGTCTGGAGAATATTAACAGAATTATTGCACCTCCTAAATTAACTGACAACATATTCTAGGTTAGACAGAAAAATAATTAAATTTCAGTTATTTTACTTTACAAATAGATAAAAGCAACCCAGGCAATATACAGTAGTTGGTTAGAAATGATTTTTGATATATTTTAGTGATCATTTATTTACATATATATACATATTATCATCACAATAAGGAAAGGTTTAGAAAGTATTTTTTTGTTTAGTTTTTGTTTTAAGGGAATAAATGTGCTTATGCTCCTTTTTAATAATTTTATGAAATACAAGTATGATCTGATGACAGGGGAAAATAAGTATGCAACAGCTATTCACTAGACCAACCAAAGAAATAAAATGTTCATGCTACCTCCAAAGTTAAAGACACATGGCAAATCTTAATTACAACATAAAGTCTAGAGTTATGTAAAAAAGAAAAGGCATTTGGGGATACCTAAAGTTCCAGATGACCAGGCAGAAAATGCAAGTCATCAACTAAAGAATTATGATAGCAAACACGTTTTTATGAACTAGGCATTATAAACACTTTACATATATTAAGCCGCAGTATCCAATTTCCTCTGCACTAGTCAATAAATGAGCTCTATTCAGCCGTTATAAATCATTGGACTGTGACTGCTCTTATTTTATGGTTTCAGGTAAAGAACTGGAAATACAGCAACATAAATGAGTTACCAGACTTGGCAACTGCTAAGAACAGTTTTCAGGACTACATTAGATGCTAATGGCAGATCTACAGAGGCTAATTTTAAGTTCCATATTAGGAAATAATAAGTCCTGAAGAAGCCTTAGCCTCTGAAATATCATCATAGGTTAACGGCTTTACAAATTTATAAACACTATAAATTAATGTAAAATAATCTAAACAACATTCTTCAAGAGGCATCCAGTCTCTTATAGGCTTCTTCGATGAAAGTTAACATGTTCTTTGTCTGAGATGAATTACGGAGAACATCAAAGTCCTTCAGAAGAGCATTCTGGTTTGGAATTTGTGCCAAAATTTCTTCCTGTGGGTACAATGTATAACTGGTTAAAAAAATGTTTATTGAGATATAATTGACATATAACATTATATTAGTTTTAGGTATATAACATAATGATTCAATATTTGTATATACTGTGCAATGAGTCTAACATCCATCACCACAGTTACAATTTTTGTGTGTGATGAGAACTTTTCAGATTTACTCTTAGCAACTTAAAAAAATACAATACATTATTATTAACTAATTATCATACTGTATATTATATCCCGGTGACTTATTTATTTTACAACTAGAAGTTTGTACTTTTTCACCCATAGAATTGGCTTTTAATCTTATTATGAAAAATATCAAATGTATGTTACTTAGAGAATGATATAATAAATCTCATGTACCCATCACTCAGCTTCAATAACCATCAACTAACTCACTGCTGTTCTTTCAAATCTGTATTATTCTGTTTTCCCTCTGCCCATTTCACTCCTTACCCCTAGGTGAATTACAGATAGGAAACCTTCAAATTACTTTTTGAGAAAACATAAAGACTTTCTACCACCATAAACATTTACACTATAATATCTACTGCGGTCCTCTGAAGAAAGACAAGTTAGCAGTGTATAGTCTACTACAAATAAGATATAATACTATTTTATGAAGAATTATATGTCATTGTTAGAAGCATAAACAAAAGCAACTGTCTGAATTTACTTGCAGAAATCTAACCTAGTTAGTTATATGACCACACAAATGCATAAAAATATATGTACAAGGGTATACTCAGAATTATCTATAATTACAAAACTTATTTCCATCAGTAATTCACAAATTATATTATGGTACACCTATACAATGGAATATTATACAGCTATTGACAAGAACGAGACACATCTACATAAACTGACAAGGAAAGATGTACAAACTCTAGTGTCTAATGAGAAATAATTGTGCGTGTATTTATACCATGAGTTCCATTTGTTTGTTTTTTAAAAAAAGAAACAGGATATATAATGCTTTGAAATATCCAATTCATAACTGGTAATACAGTCAATATAGTAAATTGTTACTTACCTGAAGTGTAGGTGCTTTGAGACTCTTCTGAGAAAGTTCTGGAAGGGACAGCACCCCACTATCTATTTGAAACATCTAGGGTAGAAAAAGAAAGCTACGTATTATTTCAAAAGACTTAATTTCTCTCAACTTATTACACAGAAAAGTTGTCTTTTGTAAAATGTAAGCATTAAACATTCCACCCAGAGCCTAGCAGCACATTACTAGACAATTACCTGTTTCACCTTCTCCTCGTCGTCTTCCACCTCACTTGTCAGAATTTGAATTTTGTTCTTTAGGCTTTGAATATTCTCAGTCACTGACTCTGTGGTCTCTACTATTTTATCTATTTCTTCCTGAGTCAGAAAGAGAAAGTTAATGTTTCAGATTAAATATTTTATTAAATAAAACCCCAAAGATATTAATATACATATTTTTAAAACACCTCATATATTAAAACAGTGGTAGAAGAAACTGGTAAATAGATTTTTGTTCTTCTTTCAAAAAACAGACTCCCTGGGAACTAATTTACCACTGTAATAATGCATTATAAGGAACCTTAATATCCTGAAACGAAAAGATTTACCCCTGTACAAGAATGTTTCCTCAAAGCTTACCAAAGCTGCTAGCAGCAGAGATTCGGGGAGATGTGTAAGTCCAGCAGAGCCCGAGGGCTGGTGGCCTGAAAGTCCCGTGTTCTGCCCATCCGTCTTTATTCCCACCCCACACCCTGGCAATCACCGATCCTTTTATTGTCTCCACAGTTTTGTCTTGTCCAGATATCATACAGTTGCAATCGGGTAGTACACAGCCTTCTCAGATTGGCTTATTTCACTTAATAATATACATTTAAGGTTCCCCCATGTCTTTTGGGGGCTTGATAGCTCCTTTCTTTTTAACACTGAATAATATTCCACCAGATGCGCCACCATTTAGTTACCCATTCACCTACTTAAAGACATCTTGCTTTTTTCCAAGTTTTGGGAATCATGACTAATGCTGCTACAAAGATCCATGTGCAGGATTTTCCTGGATCATGCCTCAAAAATATGTTTAATTTTGTAAGAAACCACCAAATTGTCTTCCAAAGAGGCTTTACATTTTAACCTGTTCCTCAGCCCTAATTTCCTATGAATTGGTTGTTGGATTTAGAGACCGCTGTCAAATACAAATATAATGTTAAGCCATGTGTATTAATTTCCTGTGCCTGCTATAAGAAATTATGTACCACAAACGTGGTAGCTTAAAACAAAAGTATTCCCTCATAGTTCTGGAGGGCAGATGTCCCAAATCAAGGTGCTGGCAGGGTGGTGCTCCCTCTGAAGGCTCTAGGGGAGATTCCGTTCTTGCCTTTTCCAGCTTCTGCAGCTGCCGGCATTCCTTGGAGCCGCATCACTCCAATTTCTGCATGTTGGCATGAAGCCTTTTCCTTTATGTCTGTGTCTCTTATAAGGACATTTCGGTCTCCTGAAGGATACTTGTCACTGGATTCAGAGCCCACCCAAGATAATCCAGGGTGATCTCGTCTCGAGATCCTGAACTTACTTACACCTGGGAAGGTTCTTTCTAAATAAGGTCACATTCTAAGGGTTAGGATTTAGACATATTTTGGGGGGACCACCATTCAACTCACATAGAAGGGAATAAATAACAGCACTGACTGAAGAGTTAATAATAAGGACTAAAATTTTTCATTACACATTTTTAAAAATTAATTTTGTCCCATTGCCTTGGGTATTCCTACCATACCCATCTGTATCATCTTTGCCCAACTTTTGTATTTGCTGCTTTTTCTCGATACCTTTAAAAAACAATCTTTCTTTTTTAAAATATGTTTTTATTGCTTTTAGAGGGAGAGGAAGGGAGAGGGATAGAGAGAGAGAAGCACTGATGACAGAGAAACATCGACTGGCTGCCTCCTGCACGCCCCCACTGGGGATTGAGCCGGCAACCTGGGCATGTGCCCTGACTGGGACTCGAACTGGCAACCTCTTGGTTCATGGGTTGATGCTCAACCACTGAGCCACATCGGCCAGGCGATAATCTTTCTTTTTGATTCTTAAAATTTTCTCATTTTACCTTCTATTTATTGTAAGCATTATCTGTTGTATTTATTTGCTTTAGTACTCCTGATTTAGTCTGCATATCCCAAAGGCTTTTTCTTTTATTTCTAATTCTTTCCTGAATTCTGTAACTTCATTTTTTGGTATAGCAGTTCCTCTAATAATGTCATTTCTTTCAACCTCATTTTGTTATAATGATGAGGAAAAAAACAACCTGATTCCCTGCTGGGGCCATCACTGTGTGGAGACTGCACATTCTCCCCACATCTCTGGGTTTTCGAAAGTTGCCATCACCAGCAATAACTCTAGGCTGCAGTAGGAGAAAGCAGTGGTTCTAAGTAACACAGAGAAGAAAACTATCGAACACAAATTCTACAAGCTCCTAGTTCAAAGACTCTCTTATGCCAATGAAGAACTCTTATGCCCAAACAGTGCTTCCATTGAGTAACTATCAAGCAAACCACAGACTGCTGTGATATAAGAAATACATATATTCAGTCTTCGTCCAGGGTTCCTGGCACAGAGCTTACAAAACCCTTGTAATTTTCCGAGTGACTGGGTGAGAGGAGCGTCTTTGGTTATTCATAAGTCCCTTCCAACCTTACCTGAGTTTATGATAATGAATGACACAGAGGATGAAGGCTGGTTGCCAGAACAACCAACCACATGATCAGAGGATTGGAAACTCCCAGCCCTACTCCTTGATGTCTGTGATGGGGACATCAGCTGGAGATTGTTAACAATCAATATGCCTATGTGATGAAGGTTCCATAAAAACTTCCAACAATGGGGTTCAGAGAGCTCCCAGGTTGGTGATCACATGAAAGTGTTGGGGGGATGATGCGCCCTCAAAGAGGCATGGAAGCTCTGCACCCCTTCCCAGACACCCTGCCTACGCATCTCTTCCTTTTGGCTACTCCTGAGTTGAGTCCTTTATAATAAACTGGTAAGAGTAAGTAACTAGTGCTTTCCTAAGTTCTATGAGCTGTTCTAGCAAATTATCGCACTTGAAAAGGGGGATCAGAGGAACCCCCGATTTATACTTGGTTGGTTAGAAGTACAGGAGGCTTGGATTTGCACTTGGAATCTGAAGTGGCATGGCAGTCTTGTGGGACTCAGCCCTTAACCTGTAGGGTCTGTGCTAACTCCAGATAGTGTAGAATTGAATTAAAGTGTAGGACACCCAGATGCTTAGCATGGAACACCCACACATTTGGTGTCAGAAGTGTTGAGTACAGAAAAAAAGTTTTTTTCCATTTAATTGTATTTATACTTTTGGCACGTGGAGGTCCAGTTTTAGTCATAAAACAGAAATGCCTCCCAGTCTTACAAAAATCACACTATCATTTACTATTTCTGATCACTTTCAAGTGATTTATGGAAATACTAAATGTTAAGATAACATTTACCATTATTATACTGCAAGGCCTTTTAAAATAACCTTTAAAAAGTCAAACTCATAGAAACAGAGTAGGAAAGTGATTGTCAGGGGCTGGAAGTGGGGGAAATAGGGAAGGGATGTTAAAAGGCTATAAACTTTTAGTTATAAGACAATAAAGCCTAATGAGCTAATGTAAAACATGGTGATTATAACTGACAACATCATATTGTATAACTTACATTTGCTAAAAGAGTAGAACTTAAACGATCTTATCCACATCTTTCCTTAAACGATATATGTGACAAATGGATGTGTTAGTAACTGGATGGGAATCCTTTCACACACAATGCATACATATATAAAATCGCCATGATGCACACTTTAAATATCTTATGAATTTATTTGTCAATTATACCTCAATAACGCTGAAATTAAAAAAATAACCCATATTAATGGCACTGTTAGAACTAGTGCCAGTACTGGAAGTATATCCTTGAAAAGTAATAACATGGGGAGAAAATTGAACATAATCTCACCCTATGAAGAAAGCCAGGCAATCGCTAAAAAATACCACCCTATTAATTTACAATATACGTAGATTTGTTGCTCAGAAACTAATCCTTCCAACATTATCTAAATTATAGGGAAAAACTGGAATAAATTATTTGTGAATTTTGAAATATTAGAAATCCTTGGGGATGCATTTCTTGCATAAACTACTACCACCCTGTACTTGCTGAATTACTAACAAAGACCTAAGCACCACATCTATAAACGACTTCAAAATGACTAAGGGATATATGGTCCAAACTGTTCTAGTTGTAATTATTTAATAAGCCTCTTTAGGCTGCTTTTCTCTCTCTCTCTCTCTTTTTGGTTTGGGTTCATTCTTTTAAAAAATTTTTAAATTACATCTGACATACAGTATTATTTTATATTAGTTTCATGTGTACAGCATAGTGGTTAGATATTTATACAGGGTGTCCTCCCAAAAATGTATACACTCTTTAACAGATGATAGCTCAGTTTTGAAAATGAAATGTATCTTAATAAACAAAGCCTTTATAATTATTCAAAGTGTGTGTATACATTTTTTGGGGACACCTATATAATTCACGAAGTAATCTCCCAATACGGTGCTTTTCTTAATTGTTCAAATATCCACTCCTTACAAGGCTGAAGTTAATGGTGACAGATAATGTTATCTCCCATTAGCTTCTACAGAATAATGATTAGGAATCATGCTCCAATGTCAGACTGCCTAGGTTTGCACAGTTTTAAGCAGTTTGTCTAAAGTTCAGCTGGAAATGTCAGTATGTCTTTTTCACATTTGTATAATGAGAATATAGCACAGACCTCTGTAAGTCCTTGTGAGGATTAGGGATATAAATTATAAATGCTTAGAAGAGTGCCTAGAACAAAGAAAGCTCTCAGTACATGTTAGCTCTCATAACAACAATAATGATGGTGACTGTGTTTCTGACAATGAAGTACTATATACAGGATGGAAAAACTAATGTTCTCAAATTCTACAACATTTAGTGATGAATTCCTATAATTTGATAATCAAAAATACTAAGACAGCCCGGCCGGGCGTGGCTCAGGGGTTGAGCATCAACCCATGAACCAAGAGGTCTCCAGTTCGATTCCCAGTGAGGGCGCATGCTCAGGTGGCAGGCTGGATCCCCAGTGGGGGACGTGCAGGAGGCAGCCGGTCAATGACTCTCATCATTGATGTTTTTCTCTCTCTCCCCCTCTCCCTTCACCTCTCTGAAATCAATAAAGATATGTAGATCTAGTATTTATTACCAGAAAAATATCATAATAATTTTAAAAACTTTATGGTCTCTTCCCTGTCCCCTAACTCTGGACTCCCTGTTCAATCTCATACCTGCAATGATGCCAGCCCTTCTTCATTAGCTCTGTGACGTGCCTTTTCCACTTTCAGTAGACTTGACACATTAGTTAAATCTTTCAACTTGTGGGGAGGGACTTTTAGGGTTTCACACAGTTGTAGCAATCTTAGGGACAGAATTAAAACACAATCATTAGTTTATTTTTTGAGTATCATTAGTATTATTTTTGTTTTGTTTTGAAATACTGTTATCTTTTTTTTTGCCCTCATATCCCTAGGGCTATAATCTTTTATTAACAGTGGCTTACCTTAGCATAAGTCTCTCCAAAAAGCCTTAACAAATCATCATTTAACCTTTCATTTTACTAAGACTTATTTCAAATCACGGGGGACACTTGAGTTGCTTCATAAAAGGAAAATTTTCTATTTTACACATTTAATAATTACTTATATGCATTTTAAAATAAAAATTTCCTTGCGTCTTCTAAATGTGTTTTCTAGACTATTTCAGCACATAGTCTGTCACTTATTGTGAATTACTGGGTAAGAGATGGAACACTACTCTCTAGATCTTAACAATGAGCCTGGATTCTAAATCTCAGTTGTTTTAGAGAATGTGACTAATAAAATGACTTTAAAGAAAACTGAGTCTCATAGACTTTAAGGCAAATAAAATGCTAAGATTAAAATTCTTTGTTCTAAAGTACCAGCAACATGAATAGTATCAGTTAAAATAAAAAAATCCTCCTTCAAATTGGGTTGATTCGAGCACCAACCACTACCTTCTAGCAGAAAGCAATATAGGTTTCTAAGATTTGATTCTTGAATTCCACAGTAGGAAAATCTAAATTTGGTTGCTTCTCTCTAACAGGAGCATTTTGAGATGCTAAAAAGTTCTACTTAATTCGAACAACAGTGGAACCCAAGACTTATCTTCCTAGGGTCTTATTCAAAATATTAATTTTTGTAAAGAAAAAAGTAGGCAGTAAAACATCTACCAATCATAATTTTCATCAAACTGTTAGGATAAACTTCAGTTATTCAGGCTAAAATCATCATTAGGGCATCATGTTTAAACATAAGTTTTTGATATCTTAAATAAAGTTTCCATTTATGATCAGTTTTTCCTAAAAGTTTATTAAGTCAGTTCTGTGGAAAGGTCATCCACTGTTCCAATGTTCTAAACAGTGGTCAGATTTCCAGAATTCTTTTAAAGTCTAATTAAATTAAAAGTATAACAGGAATACACCCTACTATATCAATAACACTTAATCCCAAAGCATGTTCCTCTAGAAACTGTAGGGGCTAACCATTTTATTTGACTAGTAACCCTGTTTGTCTGATCACAGGGGTATGTATATGACACAGTCTATATCAGTCATAATAGTCTTGCCACAAAATCAGTCCAAAGACAAGCATATCACCTAAGCTGGGCCAATCAGAGCCCATCTCCCAGAATTCTGTAACTGCAGCTAAGAGGACAAGTGTTTTCTTTCTCTTCTTCCTTCACAAGGCTGAGACGAAAAAACAGAACTGTCTATATCTATGATTCTAACCTAGTGAGGACAGCCTGTCTAAAAGATGAAGCCGAAATGCAGACAGAAGCAGAGGGGAGACTAACATATGAAACAGAGTCCCTGTGATAAATATCAATTTGGGAGATGCTAGGTTAAGCAGAATGAAATACATTTATTTACTGCAAGACTTTTAATATGCTGATGTACCCAAACATTATTCACTATGTATCAATTTTATTCAGAGTATTTTTAAGAATAAATGTTCCAAATATACTTTGGGAAATGTTACTATAGGAAAATTTATTCAGAGATCCAATTTGCTAAGGCTGTATACACTGCTACATTAGTAAAAGGGAAAGTCTCTTGAGTATTGTTATTTTGGGAATGAAAGAAAGTTACGAGAGCAAACACGAAGAGAAATCAGGCAGTCTTTGAAATATATGTCTCTATGGCTGCTATGTGATGAAGACAGCCTATATGTTGAACAGAATTTAATCTTTTCTGATGACTGAGGGTGATTACAGTGAAGAGCAGACGCTATGTACTGTCATATTCTCATTCACACACCAAACACAATTATTTGTCCTATATTAAAAAGACCATAAGTAGCTATTACCCTTATTATATATTATCGTACTTAGCAGCTTTTTTAGTGCACTCCTTCAATATGAGGCTGTCATTCCTATGTCATTTACAGGCCTGCTTCTAGCAGTCTTTCTTTAATCTCTTCAACCTCTCTGCACAAACTCCTACCCCTACCCATCCCACCCCACCTTTTCTATTTTGCTACTATCTTGAGAATTACATTTAAAGGAAGCAGAATTTGTCTTCCCAAGGATAAAGTACTGGGTCACAAACATTTCCAAGTACACCAGTAACTGAGATGCAGAATATTCTTCTATGGAAAGAAAACGTTATGCAAATATTAGAAAAAAGTCACTGAAAATCATTAACAGTGGTGTGACTTTTTAAGAACACAAGAAAAGAAACCTCCATTTGTGACTTGCCACAAGATGAAGAACAGTAATATTTTGGAAAATTACACTTGTTACTTGTGCAAATAATGTAATAAAATATAAAGTTAAGGAAAAACACAGGAACAGAATAAGTAAGAGTGGTGAACTGTGAACTTCAAATTGTTCAAAATGAAGTTGAAGGGAGTTAAAGTTGTTAAAATATTTTTCAGATCCCAATACAGAAAAGTGAATTATGGAAGCAGGCATTTTGTCATTTTCAGATTCTTCCTTATAAATTCTCTTAAAGAACTCAGAATTGCATACAGTAGCAGTTTAGGATAGAATATATATTCCCAAATTGTTCCTCTTTTTAAAACAACAACAAAAACCCCAAGTGAAAAACTTTTATATTCCACAATATTCCACAACTTTTATATTGCAACATAGAGACAGATTAGACTTTTACTAAGTATGTTTTAACCATTTTCTATATAATAACTATATTACCTGTTCTTCAGGCAGTTGAGATGATATTGAATTTGTTCATTTTCTCTGCCTTTGTTACTCAAAATTGATCTAGAAAAGAAAAAAGGGACTGAGTAAATATTAGCTTGCTTCTCTTTCCTAGTAAGGCAAAATCTGTCACTTTTCCTTTTATATACATTTTAAGCAGAGGTACAATCAAAGTTCTTTTTGTCATATTATATTGTTGTGTTTAATTTATGTGCCTGACTCTTCCGATGGATTTCAGCTCCTTGATGGCAGAGTCCTTTCTCTGTACACCCTTCTAGTGTGGTAACTTCCATATACAGTGTCAGTTTGCACTCAGCTTCTTCCTAAAGTGTCCCTATTGACAGAACATGTTAAACATTTACAGATCAGGCCCCACAGACTTCATTTTATTTCCCTGATGGAATACTAAGTTTCTGAAATTAACAAAGGCTTTTTTTCTGTGGCTAATGCAATTAAAAGACATTAAATATATCCTTCTGAGAGAGAAAAACATCCCATCACCATAAAACAGAAATAACATTTAAAAGAACACTGTCTATAGAAAACATAAGTAGAAACCAAGAGTCAAGTGGAAAAATTTCATACTCACATTATTACTGTTTCCATCATAGTTTGCAAATGCTGTCTGCTACTCTTTGAAAGAGGTTCCCAGGTTTTTCTCTTGCTGGATGTTATCTTTACCTGTTTTAGACTAGTTTGCTCTGTTTGTCCTATCTCTGGTGAAAGAAGAGACTCTGGTGAGTCTAGAAATTTGTATGTTTTTACTTAAAAAGTGATTAAAGTGTAAATTTACCTAAAAAAGCTAATGAAATTATGAGAACCAAAATATTATAAAGCTATATAAACTGTTTAATTTCCTCGTTATTGCACGAGGAAATGCCAGGTGTTGAATATGAATATGCTATCTATTGTTATGTTAACTAAAACAATATTAACTGATATTGCAGATATAAACTCAAGGCAATTTTAAATGAAGAACCAAGCTACAATTATTAGGATTCAACATAAAAGTATGGTTCTTAGAAATGACCCGAATTCAAGAGTTCATTAAGACTAGAAAACTGTTTCTGCTAAATGTTGGATGGAAACTAGAACAAAAGAGATTAACCAAACCAGATAGTCAGTGTTAGATTAATTGTTCTACTTACAAGGGATATACAAAGGAGATACACTATTGGCTCACATGAAGATTTGTTTTGGAGAGAAGGGAGATTATATAATAATAAGAATGCAAAGCATTATAAAAGCAAAAGTACTCTGTAATATTTTAAACAAAAAAAAAAATTAAAAAAAAAATAAAAATAAAAAAGCAAAAGTATTGTATAAAACCAGATGATGTAACCTGGTCTTGGGTGAGGAAAGGTAGGGAATTCTTCCAGGAAAATATGACATTTAAGTAAACATGAACACTCCAAACTAATTTACTCCAAATAAAATTAGATAGTGGTTCCAAACTAATTTGTACAGTGGTGGTAGAACAGAAGCATATTTGTCTTGAAGAGAAATCAGTAGGTGTTTCTATATATCACAGATCAGTAATTCAGAATTATTTCGAATAATTCAGAGCCCTACACAATTTTTTAGTGATGGTAAATAAAATTTCAGCTGACCAAAATAACTAACCATTCTTGCAAAAATGAGAATGCTGCTGTTTCTTACTATCTTTTGCTTTTGCAGAACTCACAAACAAGATGCTAATAATTTTTTCATGAATATAGGTAGCTTAAGAAAGACCAATTAAACAAGATATAGAAAAGAAATACCTTTAGAAAACAGACGTTTTGGATGATTTTTATTTTTCTTCACTGTGTTTCTAACCTAGAAGGAAAAACATGAGCACATACACAGAGCGAATTAAACATCAGATAAAAAGATTTTGCTTTGGTAGTAGATTTGTCATGTATGTTGAGGAGTATTCACATACCTTCTGGCTAGGTAGAAAAAAGTATATTGCCACTGCTATAGAAAAAGGGTGTGTATTTGTCACAGGCAAAAAATATACTAAAGCAGTTCCTGGACAATGGTGATAATGTATAATATAATATCCTATGGTATCAAACAATGTTTTAAAGGAATCATTACTCATTTTGCCAGTGAAATAGTGTTACATGCTTAACCTGCAAAACAAATAGAGGCACTGCCTAATACAGGGTACAACACAGAAAAAAAAATTGATTATTTAGTAATTTATTCTTTTAGAAGGGATGGGTGAAATCATGGGAAGAAAAAGCTAATTCCTACCAAACTAATTTTTCTCTATCTTAATAAAAAATCTCCTCCAGCAGCTGTCAGACTCTCTTGTCTTTTAACATGAATGCCATAGAATTTGCACACTATATTCCTAGTCTTCCCATTTAAACACCTTAGCAATGCCCCATGACCTGTTCCTCCCCAAAGAATTCTCTGGTATCTTCAGAATTGAAGTAAACAATATTTATCTGAGAACTTTTACAAATCATGCTGTAACAGCTCCCACATAATACGAATTATGATAATTTGCAGAAAAAGTGACCTTTAGTCTTCAGATACTCCTTTACAGAGAACAGATGATATTTCTAATAAAGAGTTGTGGATGATAAACTAGATATATTTCTTACCTCTTTCTCTGATAACTCCACTTCCTCATCATCAGTTTTTCTTTTTGGATTTCTTTTTAACTGTTGAGACCTTTTCTTGGACGCATTTGCCTTGCTAGACATCTTGATCTAAAGAGAACAATTCTAACAGTGCTTCAAGAAATCTGTAAAAATGAAAAGGACACAGAATAATTCTTAAGACTTGCATGATATTCTGTTCAAAAGACTACCTATACCTATAAATGTTCCAAATTGGCCTTTTAAACATTTTAAACATATTTAAAAACAAATAACATTGGTTCTTACTAGAGTAAGGACATCTAATTCAATTTTATTCCTAGAAATCTCTTCCATTTGTAGGGCTTTTAAAAATCATTTAAAAATGCTTTTGCATCTCTAACTTTATTCCCGCTTCCCCCACAAGAACATTATCTCCATGTTTAAATCCAAGAAAATGGAAATATAAAGTGCTGAATTGTCTTACTCTGGTCACAGATAACTGTGATATCTACTACCTCACAGATATCACTCAAATCTTCTTGTTTTAAGCCTAATGAATTTATCATTCAACCTATGCCAACGATGTAAGGAAATAATTTTTAGAATTATACCATGAATCTGTGTTGTACAGAATCATGTGGTAAATTCACTCATAAGGATTTAAGCTCTATAATTCTGTCTGGGTTATGTGCATTTTAACAAGAGCACAGAAGTATACTGATCCCTCTGTACACCCCCACCCCCAATTAAAAAGCAGGTATAGGAGTGGGGTTGGGGATGCCAATGACAAAATGTAGAATAACTCCTTTTCTCTAATAGTCCTTTATCACCAAACTCATTTCTGCTAAAAGGAACAGAGAGAGGAACAAGATATTTATTCTTGCATTAGGCCATAAGGAGTAAATAGCCAGAAGTTACGTACAGTATACACACACACACATATAATGTGTGGCATATACAATATATGTATATTTTTTAGGCATATACAGCTAGATATATAGATAAATCAATCATCATTCTTTTTCTAAAAATTTAGTTAATTACATTAATATAGTTTAAATATAATGCAGATTTAGACACAGACAATAAATAGGGTACTCTGGATAAATCTGTTCCCTCAAATTTTAAAAGGAAGTTTCAAGCCCCCCCACCCCCAGTAAGACTGACAAAAATAGTGGGAATTGATCGAAAGATCACAAATTATACTTGGGGACTACATGTGACATCAGTTACAAAAAGCACTGAAAGCTAAAACACACTTTACCCTGAATGTGGTACCTTATTCTACAGCCAGTCTGCTGTGTTCCATTCCTGAAATGCCTAATTCTCTCAACTTGACATCCATGTCCTTATACTTCCCTTACTTAAAAACCAATCCATGAGTGTTTCACCTGTGGACTCTCCTGGAAGGGCTGCCATGTACAGCACCTCAGACTGTTCACTGAAAAAGAGTACCCAGGTGAGGAAGCAAAGGAGGGCCAATTTAGTCCTCCCTCCACTTGGCAGTTTAAAAATGGTACAAATTCCTTTTTTCTCTTATTACTGATGTGAAGTCTATTTCCCCTTGTCTTAAATCTTGGCGAACTCTGCAACTACTTAAAAAAAAATTTGTTTTTAATCCCCACCTGAGGATATTTTTTTCCATTGCTTTTCAGAGAGAGAAGGGAGAGAGAAACATCGATGAGAGACATATTGATTGGTTGTCTCCCGCACTCGCCCTGACTAGGGCCAGGGATCAAGCCTGCAACCAAGGTATGTGCCCTTGGCAGGAACTGAACCCAGGACCCTTCAGTCTGCAGACAGATGCTCTAACCACTGAGCAAAACCAGCTAGGGCAAACTCTGCAGCTATTAAGCAGAATATGGTAGAAATGATTCTGTACCAGTTTACTGGCCTAAACATGAAGAGACTGGCAGCTGCAACTTCCTCTTGCTTGGGATATTTGCTCTGGAACTATGCTATGAGGAAGGCCAACGTGGAGAAGAACTGAAGCCCCAGGCAAAAGCCCCAGCTAAACTCCCAATGGATAGTCAGCACCAACTTGCCAGCCTGGTGCACATATCCGAGCCAGTATGCTGCAGCTGACACTATGTGGAAAAGACACGAGTCAGTTCTACCAAGTAGTTTCCAGTTTCAAATTTTGGGACCAAATAAGTGACTTTTTAAAAAATTGATTTTAGAGAGGGAGGAAGGGGGAGACAGAGAGAGAGAAACATCCATGCGAGAGTGATACATTGAGCGGTTGCCTCCCTTATGCACCCTGACTGGTAATCGAACCTGCAACCTAGGTATGTACCCTGACTGGGAATTAAACCCACGACTTACTGGTACACGGATGATGCTCCAACCAACAGAGCCATACCAGCCAGGGATGGCTATTTTTTTAATGAAAAAAAGTCTTTTCCCAATACCTGTCTTATAACGTCCAAATTCGTTACCCTGCCATTTAAAGTCTTTAACAATCTAGTCCTGCCTGGTCTTCCAGTCTTCTCTCCCACCACTCCTTTCAAATCTCCCTCTCTGGCTAGATTTGATGATTTGCTGAACACACTTTGAGTAATGCACACACTGTACCCTCTGCTGGAGCTGCTTTCTCCTGTGTCTCTGCCCACCCTCTCTGATCATGAGTCATCTGCTTCTCAAAGCCTTTCTAACCACTCCACTTCATTGCTCTCTTAAAATATTGATTTTATTTTTTAGAGCATTTTCAAATTTACAGCAAAATTGAGCAGAAAGTACAGAGTTCCAATATACCCCTGTACCTCCTCCTACCACTACCCTTTCCCACCAACATCCCACACCAGAGTGGCAAATTTGCTACAATCTATGAACCTATACTGACATATCACACCACCCAGAGTCTAATAGTTTACATTAGGGTTTGTTCTTGGTGTCATGCATTCTATGGGTTTGACTAGTAATTCATTTTTAATTGTATTTTACAATTGTCAGTTGTGACTGATTAAAAATAAAAACAAAACAAAACAAAAATTGGCCCTTTATCACTGACAGTTTGAGAAGCACTGTTTTCATCAAAACCCTACAGGAAGCAATAAACTATAAAGCAAAGTTTCTCAACCTTGGCACTAGAGTATTAACATTTGGGATGGGATAATTCTTTGCTGTGGGTGCTGTCCTGTGCCCTGTAGGATGTTCAGCAGCTTCACCGGTCTCCACCCACTAGAGTAAGTAGCACCTTCCTCTCTTGTGACAACCAAAATTGTCTCCAGACATTATCAAATGGCCCCCTGCGGTGAAATCGCCCCAGGTTGGGAACCACTGTCAAGAGCAAGCCAGGGATGAGTATAACCTGCCCAGGTTCCAAATCCTGGCTCTGCCAGTTAACTAGCTGTATAGCCTGGGGCAAATAAATTTGCTCACTTACCCCATTGGTAAAATGGGTTAAAAAAAAAGTACCAACACCAAAGGCTTGTGTAAAGCTAAAATTTTGTATGGAATACATAAAGTGCCTAGAACACTACCTGGGACATAGCTCATACAAAAAGGAATAGAAATTTTAGATCCACAGGAAACCACAGCCTAGTGGTAGAGGGTAGAGACAGATATAAAAACAATTATTAGATACAATTACAGACAACGCGACAAACGTTATGAGGCCAATGAGTGAATGACTATTTCAGAATGGTGTGTGAGAGTGAATATACAGTACTCAGAGCAAAAAAATGAATATTTGAATTACATTTTGAAATACTGAGCCAGAAGGAAGGAGAAACAGCAAAAGCCTGACGACAGGACAGCTGGAAAGAGACTGGTGTGTTTGGCGACACTTTCAACGTGCGTCGGAGGACTGGACAGAAATGATACCGCAGACTTGGGACAGACTTGATCCCGCAGTAAAAGATGTTTGCGTTACCCTGCAGGAAACAGGGAGGCATCCTAGATCCTCCTGTGTCCTTACCAGCTTGCTGAAGCTCGTGAACACCAAGTAACTCAATCCATACCTCTGTGTGGGCAGAGGAGGTGAGCACGAGGCCCGGCAAAGCGCAAACACAATGTTTACCTCCACAATGTTTACAGGTGACGCGAGCGGAGGGCGACGCCGCCGGCGGCCGACTTCAAGGCCAGACACTCACCTCTATCTAGGGCTGCACCGGGTCCCGCGACTGGCCGCGGGGGGATTAATAAGGAAGGAGGCGGTTGGTGAGGATGATTCCGGGAAAGGAGGGAAGAACCCGCGTGGCTTCACTCCCTCCTCGCAAATCAAATAATTCAGTCCGCGGCCCCGCAAGGCAGACGGGTTCGCAGTTCCCTCCCTTTGGAAAAGTCACCTCACGCTTTCCCAATGCAAACCGCCGAGGCTGCCACAGACGCGCTGGTCACAAAACTCCCTCCCCAACCCAGACCCACTGGCAGGGCGAGAGCTGTCACCAACGACTCCTCTCGGGCCTTTCGGGGAGCCAGGCTCATTGCAATTCGCGCCCAAACAATCGAAATCCCGGCACCCGGAAGTGGATTGGTAGAGACCGGAAACGTCCGTAGCGAGACGCTGGCAGCCAGCCACATCCCTGACGTCATCAGGAGCGCGCCCCCGAGAGCGCGATGTGATTGGCTGGGAGGAGGGCGTTGTCTACTTACGCCCCCTGACTCCGGCGGGCTCGGTGGGGGGGTCCAGCTAGGTGGACCTCTGGCTGGTAGGGCCGGGGTCCCGAGGTCCAGCCGCACGCTCCCAAAATCGAGGTCCGGGACAGGCCGGCCAGTGAGTAGGACTGTGCTCGCTGGGGCACCTCAGCCTTGCAAATCCCTCCATTCTCCTGGCTCCTCTCCCCGCCTTACCCCCGTCCCCTGAGCCTCTGCCCTTCCCAGCCCCCCAACTTCTTTCTTCTTTAACTTTCCTACTGTGACTGGGCCCCGCTCTCCTCTACCTTATCCTTAGCTTTAGGTTCTCCGCCGACCTCTCACTTTCAGCGAGGCCCTTGGGAGTTCGGAGGTACTGCCGAAGGTTGTTTTTAACGCCTCAGGGGCCTTGCCGCCATTTTCCCCGCTCGCCCTAGCACCCCGAGGTTCCTCTAGGCACAGGTCACTGGTACGATTCCAGAAGGGTGCGTTGGTTCCACGTGTTACTGTTTTGTTTTGTTTTGTTTTGGAAAGAGGTGGCAGTATTCAAAGCGACTTTCGGTATCCTGGTGGAGGTAAAGGTGACAGGTGGAACAGGAAAGACAGGTTGAAACTGACATAAAATTGTTAAATGACGAACTTGTTCTCAGCTCTGTCTCGAAAGAGAGCAGTGTGTCAGGAGCTCGAAACCGTGTGTAGCGTATGTGTGTGCAGCTTTAGATCACTTGATGATTTTCTCCCAATATGTTATGTTTAATGATTATTTGCGCCAAGGTTTAATTTGCATGGTCTATGTTGTCATCTCCAGCCCAAATTGGCTGAACGTTGGAGATGGTTAGTTCTTGAAGTATTAATGTGGAGCTGCATGTAAACAGCTCTAACTTGAAAGTTACTTGCTTTGCACGTTGCTTTTTCAAATGCTTGAAACCTCTCTTGATGGATCTTCTGAGAAAATTTAGAAGTCCTGTTGCCATCAGCAGTAGTTGTGTTCTTATTTAAAAAACGGTGTCTATTTCCAGTGGGTACCAATTTGCCATGTGATTTTCAGGAAGTCACTTAAGTAGGTAGGGCTTTTCCCAATCATTTGTCCAGGTTTAGGAAAGCCCCATGAGTATTTTGTGTGAATTAAGTGTGATGTTTCCTGTCTACAGTCTAGTCTCAGACAGTTTTCAAATTACCTTTTATATCATTACTACCCTAATGGTTCAGTTATAACTGAATTATTTTTCTCACCTACTTTTGAAGTTAGTGTATGCAGTGTATGGCTTGTTAGATGGATGACAAGGATCCTGTGGATTTAATAGAATAAAAATCATAATAGATTTTTAAAAAAAAAAAGGGAATTGTTTTTGTTGTATTTCCATTAGACTTTATACTATGTGTTTTTAGCTAGTTGAATATACTGTATTTACAATTTTTTATCCTGCTTCTTTCACTTAATACTTTTTGAATCCTTCTCTCTTTTTTTTCTTCTTCACCCGAGGACATGTGTTTTTTTTAATTGATTTTACAGAGAGAGGAAGAGAGAGAAAGAGAGAAATACATTGATGTGAGAGGGATTGGGGATCAAACTTGCAACCTAGCCTGTTTTCTTTTTAAAGAAACTATGTATATCACATATTTTAAATTTTTACTTATGTATAATCTATATACGTAGAAATGCACATACAATAATTGTACAATTTGATAAATTTCCACAGACTGAATACATCTATATAATCAGTGTTCATATCAAGACCACCCCAAAAGCTCCTCTCCTGTTCCTTTTATGTACTAGCCAGCATAAATAACTATTCTCTTGACTTCTAACATCAAAGATTAGTTTTGGCTATTTTTAAAGCACATTTTAATAGCTATATAAAATTCTATCATTTACTTATTCATTCCTATGTTGTTGATGTTTCTCAGTGTTGGTTTTTCTTTTTAATTACAAGTAAAGCTATAGGGAATATGTATTTTAACTGTAGTAACTTACCCAGGAATGATGTTTCTCAGTGGAATGGCATTATCATTTCTGAGACTTCTTGTACATATTTCCAGTTTGTTTTCCGAAGTGGTTAAAGCAATTAATACTTCCACCAATGATTTATGTCTTTTTTTTCACAACCCTCTAACAAAAGTTGGATATTCTTATTTTCTTTTCAGCTTTACTAAATTGATAGATAAGAAACAGTATGGAAAATAGAATTTTAGACTCATATTACTTCCTGTTTTATCTATTATAAAACAATATGGCATGATGAATATATTAGTAAAATTTGCATGTCAAAATCTTTTAAAATACAAGGTTCTAACAAGTAGTAATTCAGGTGAACAGTTTACTGCTTTGCTGTGTGGAATTTTCACCAAACTATTTTATTTATTTCTCTGGACCTTAATTTCTACATATGTAAATGATGAAATTGGACTTAATGGGACTGGGACACCTAGTATGAGACTCTGTGCTAGTTATAGGGGATATATAGCTCTAATGGGAATGTGTATTTTAACTGTAGTAACTTACCTATACACATTCCTGATACACACACACACACACACACACGTACAGGGGTGGGCAAATGTAGGTTTATAGTTATTGGAAATAATACAATAATTAATAATACAAGAATAAACTATGTTTCTCATACTCACTCCTGTAAACGTACTTTTGCCCACCCCTGTATATGAGATGTGTAAATGATTTTATATACATATATTTTATATGAATATGTATATGTATATAAAATCATTTATACATCTCTATATACAGGGGTGGGTAAAATATATCTTACCAAAGTAAATGTATTTTCCCTAAGCATAAAAAATAGCGTTCTAATATATTGTTGTATGGGAGATGATAGATGTACAAATAGGGAAACAGAGTTCTGTAGATTACTGAAGAGGTTTAGCCCAGCTTGTGGATTCAAGGAGAGGCTGTGAGTATGTTAGTTAAATTCAAGGACTTCGAAATGGGACTTCCTAGATTCAACTGCTGGCCCTTTTGTGCCTCAGTTTTCTTGTCTGTAAATGGGATAGCATTAGTACCTATCTCTTGGTGCTATGAAAAAGAAGATTGCTACTTTATGTATAAAGTTCTTTGAGATGACTGCCTTAGCTAAATTAGACGAAGAGGAACATTCTAGGCAGGTGGAAGAGCAAGGGCAAGCCAGAGAACACTGGCATATGCAGGGAACCATAGGTAACCCAGCACCTGTAGAACACAGAGTGCAGAGGACAAAGGCGGAGATGAGTCAGAGAGGTGAGCAGGTCACGGAGGGCTTAAATGCCTGTTTGTCTTCCTTACCACTTTTTTCATCCAGCAGCCAACACAATGCTTGTCATAAAGAAAGTGTTAAATGACAACCTTTTGAAAGAAAAAAATCAGTTGGAAGGTTGTATACTATATCCTCTATGTGATGCATAGCCTTTGAAAAATCTTAAGAGTAGTGTGACATCAGATTTGCACTGCTGTCAGTGTGTAGAATGGATCAGGGGGCTGAGACTGTTCAGTAAAACCAGCTAAGAAGCTATCGAGAAAGAAGAGTAGAAAAATAATAGTGGTTGTTGAGAAGAGGGGCCAGTTATAAAATATCAGGTACAGGAAGCAGAAAAGGAGAAGAGATGAAATCATAGTAATATACCTTCTTCCTTCTCTTTTCTCTTGTTACCAGTAGCTCCCATTCTTCCTCTTGTAAATAAATATACACTGTGCTTTTTTTTCTAGGTCAGTTTTTCCTTCTCTCGGGTGTTTTCCATGCTCCATCATGTTGAGGGCGAAGACTCGGCTTTTTTTGCTTTCACCTCATCACCTGAAGCAACTAAAAGAGTCATCAGGCTCCAGACTTATATGGCAGCGACTTCTGCACCAACAGCCCCTTCACCCAGAATGGGCTGCACTGGCTAAAAAGCAGCTGAAAGGCAAAAATCCAGAAGACCTAATATGGCGCACCCCAGAAGGGATCTCCATAAAGCCGTTATATTCCAGCAGGGATACCAAGGACTTTCCTGAAGAACTTCCAGGAGTGAAGCCATTCACACGTGGACCATATCCCACCATGTACACCTTTAGGCCCTGGACCATCCGCCAGTATGCTGGCTTCAGTACTGTGGAAGAGAGCAATAAGTTCTATAAGGACAATATTAAGGGTGAGATTTAAATATGAGATATATTTATGATCAAACATACATTTTCTATTCTTGGCTTTTTTTTAAAGGGGAGGCTGGTTAATCTCTATAAAGAAAATAGTTATTTTATAATTTTGAAGTTTATATTACACTCTCAGAAAATGAATGGCTTTCAACTTCCATGGTCAAAAGATAGATGAATCAGAATAAAATACTCAATTCTTTTTTTTAAAAAAATATGTCTTTATTGATTTCAGAGGAAAGGAGAAGGAGAGAGAGAGAAAAACATCGATGGTGAGAGAGAGTCATTGATCGGCTGCCCCTGGCATGCCCACTGCTGGGGATCAAGCCCACAACCTGGGCATGTGCCCTGATGGGGAATCGAACCACGATCTCCTGGATCATAGGTTGATGCTCAACCACTGAGCTATGCAGGCCAAGCTAAAATACTCAATTCTTGAAAGCAAACAACTTACATGCACATTGTGTAAAAGGAATTAGATGAAGTGAAGTTGTAAGAAGAAAAGAAACATTGGCTTTGCCTTTGAAAAGCTTTTAATAAATATAATTTTAGGGTAGGTATTAGAGGAGGAAATGGTTTAAGCAATGCCCAAAGAAAGTAATAAACAAATAATGTGGTATAAATGTATTCAGCGCAATCTGTCATTCATTCTCTGAAAATCAGACTGACTATTTCTTTCTGATCTATAATAAAATCATATTGTTTGAATGCTAAACTTGAGGGTCTTTAAATTTTGTGTTGGCCGTGGAGGACTGAACTTGTATTGAGTGTAGAACATTGTAGTTTTTCACATGATTTTCATACTACTTTCCCAGAATATTTGAATAGCCAACACACCCTATAATGACCATATTAAATAAGAACAAAAATAAGTAAGTGAGCATACAAATACTAAATATTGTTAACTATCTGTAAACAGCCAGATCTTTACATGAATCTTCAAAATATTTCTGTCAAAAACTTTTAAGATAAAAAAACCCTCAGATGGACATGAGATAAATGAGATGTTTATAGTGAGGTCTGGAACCCAATTTGTGCATTTTAGCACATGGGAAACAACTGACTGTCTTAGGAAATAAAATATCTAAATTTGTTTTGACATTTATGAGCATAAAAATGTTTGTTATAAAAGTATACTGTGATGAGATGAATCAACACTTAGTAGTGATAGGCAGATCAGTTTACTTATATGCCACACTGTTTAATCCTACTTTTTTTTTCTTTACATATTTAGCTGGCCAACAGGGATTATCAGTTGCCTTTGATCTGGCAACACATCGTGGCTATGATTCAGACAACCCTCGAGTTCGTGGTGATGTTGGAATGGCAGGAGTTGCAATTGACACTGTGGAAGATACCAAAATTCTTTTTGATGGAATTCCTTTAGAAAAAATGTCAGTTTCCATGACCATGAATGGGGCAGTTATTCCAGTTCTTGCAACTTTTATAGTAACTGGAGAAGAGCAAGGTGTACCTAAAGAGAAACTTACTGGTACAATTCAAAACGATATTCTAAAGGAGTTTATGGTCAGAAATACGTATATTTTTCCTCCAGAACCATCCATGAAAATTATTGCTGACATCTTCCAATATACAGCAAAGGTATCCTTTGTGGTTATTACAGGTTTTTCTGTAGTTCTTTGAATGTAGGAATTTTTATAAAATACCGTAACCTAATTTGAATTCAGTAACTGAGTCTGAGTAATAATTGTAGTATAATGTCAGGTGTGGGCTTTCTGTTTTGTGTGTTGTTAGGTTTTTTTTGGGGGGGTCTTTAATATTATCATCTGTCATTACCTGCAGGAATCTGGACACTAGACATTTATTGTATTTTCTTTATTGTTAAATTCTCCGATAATTGTTATGATCAGAGAGGGCTCATAATTTACACTTCTTTATTTCTCTCTAGAGTTCAGATTCAGTTGTGAATAGACACTGGTGTTAGACAGATGGGGATCAAAATATCAGCTTTATTTCTGCTAAAAATTGGATTAGATATAAAAGACATCATTTATATCTGCAGCCATAGTGAGGTTTCTAATATTTCACCCCTGAATTAGGTTCATCTTTTCCAATCATAATGGAGGGAGGAGAAGGGTCTTACAGTGTTCTTATATTAGCAGCAGTCCCTCCACGGGAAACCCAAAGTTTCTTCATTTTCCTCTTAGTAGTTCACATAAATTCCCCCATCATTCACACTTTCCTTCTTTTTTTTTTTAAATATATCTTTATTGATTTCGATTTCAGAGAGAGGAAAGGAGAGGGAGAGAGAGAGAGAAACATCAATGATGAGAGAGTCATTGATCAAGCCCTCAAGCAGGGCATGTGCCCTGACTGGGAATTGAACCCTAATCACCTGGATCCCAGGTCGACACTCAACGGCTGAGCCACGCCCGGCCGGGCCACACTTTGCTTCTTGATGGCAATGCTCTCCTCCTTACCAACCTTAAAGTTAGACCATTGTTTCATAGCAAAGGGCAAATCTCTCCTCCACCATCAAACCTTTATCTCTTTCACTTCTTATAATTGCTTTCATCTCAGAACTCTTGCAAGTATTGCGTACTCTCCTCTTTTAATATTTAGCCTTTACACTTTGCAATATTATTTATTTTTATAGATTCCATCTGCCCGTGCAATTGTATTGTATAGAATTGTACATTTCTCTCACCCTTTTCAATTTCAAGAACACATGCCCAAAAGGATCACATTTAGCAGCATCTGACAAACACAGATACAAAAATAGCAGTAGCTTCAATTAAATAGGAGGCAGTTCTCTTTCATGTAGAAGAAAGAAGAAATTGTCAGGTGGGCTGTCAGGAACCACTGCAGTCACCAGGGTCCCAGTCTCCTTTCATCTGGCTTGTCCTCTGTTGTTAGTATGCCAGCTCATGGGTAAGGAAGTAGGTGGGCCAGGTGTGTTTGTGTGAAGAGAGTCTCCCAGCTCCTCTGATAAAAGGTGAACTTCCGCAAGGAACAAACCAAACTTCTGCTTGTATATCTCAATGGACACAGTAGTGAGAGAAGATGGGAAGTGCAGTTCTTGCAGATTGGCACTCTGAGCCTATGGTTTAGGCATTACAGGAGAGTGGAGAAGGTAGCAGCCTGTGCTGTCACACCCTTGGACATTTTACCTTACAAAAGGTCCCAATGTCATCTACAAGTTCAAAATTGCTTTATATTGTCCTTCATATAAGTGATAAAGGTGTCAGTTTCAGATACTGATCAAGTAATGTTGTGTTAAAGTACTTTGTAAACTGTAAACTTTTATATTATTCCTTAAAAATTTTCTAATTGTGGGAAAATACACATGCCATAAAATTTACCATCCTAATGATTTTTAAGTGTATAGTCAGTGGCATTAAGTACATTCACATCATTGTGCAACCATCACCACCATTCATCTCCAGACTCTTAATCTTGCAGAACTGAAACTCTGTACCAATTAAATAATAACTTTCCATTCTCCCCTCCTTCCCTGCCTTCCCCCACAAGGACCATTCTACTTTATATCTTTATGAATTTGACTAAGTACCTCATATAAATGGAATCATATAGTATTTGTCTTTTAATGACTGGCTTTTTTCACTTAGCATACTGTCTTCAAGGTGCATCCATGTTGTAGCATGTGCCAGAATATCCCCCCATTTTAAGGCTGAATAATATTTCAATATTCCAGTATTTTTTTTATTCTTAAAGAAACTCTGTTACTAACCCCCTCTCAGTAGAGAAGCACCTGGTTGTTTCACTGCTTCTTATTTGTAAACTCCCAACATACTCAAGTAATATCTCAATTCCATGTGATTCCAGCCCCTTATTGCTTTTGTGATGGAACAGGAGCATTTTAAAATAGCTTTTGGTTAGTTATAAATAAAATATTTAAAAAGTATAATACAGATAATCCATATCATATGCTAGAACAACTGATTTTTTTTTAGTACTTACTGTGTATTGACGTATAGTAACCGGTTTACAAGAACCATTTCATCTAATCCTACAACTCCATGAAGAAGGTGTAATTATTATCTGTATTTTGTACTTTAGGAAATCCAGGAATAATATGGTTGAGAAACTTGCCTCTAGTCAGTCTCCTGGCTAGTTAGGTGACAGCTGGAATTTGAGCACTCCGATTCCAGAGCCCACGTTCTTAACCACTGCAATGAATTTCTGTCATTTAGCATTTATTATTTTATGTTTGGTTAATTCTTGGGAAGGATAATAGTTTTTTGGCTCTTCAGAATAATGTGTGATATGTACCCTACCTAATGTGAAATTTTAGGGGAATAGTGAAAATGCTGTTTTCTTAGTGGTTATGGTAGAACGAATCTGAGATATGCTTAGCATTCAATATCTCAGTAAATGAAACTGAAATCTTGATTTTTAAGCCCTGAATTTTATCCTGTTCTGTTTCAATATATAGCACTTGGGATTGAATCATTTTCCTGTTTTTTTCCTGGATCGTGTACTTACTCATGTTCAGTGACTTTATTCAAATAAGATAATAATTAATAACAAGTAAATAATTAAATTTATACATCTTCAGATTAGCCCAAAGTTATGAGGTCTTAGGACCTCTTGTGAGGTTGAAGTCATTGGTTTTGAATTAAAGATGTCTTTATTCAGTTCTCAGGGCAAAGGTTACATCTCTGACCTCAGCCAGCTAATTTTGAAGTTTAAACTTTTGGTGTTAAAGGTTGGTTGGTGCAGATTCCTTTTCACTAGAAAAATAAAATAGTCCTTATGATGGTTGATTGGATCAGTCATTTAAATTGGAAAGTGAATTAAATGTAACAAAGTAAGCATTAAATATTTTTAGTTAATATTATAAGCTGTTTAGTATATCTGAGTTGAACATTTTAAAGTATTGTCTTTTATAAAATAGGTTTAATGGAGCCTTTTTATGTTTTTATTCAGTGTTGTGTTTTTATTTTATTTTATATAGCACATGCCAAAATTTAATTCAATTTCAATTAGTGGATACCATATGCAGGAAGCAGGAGCTGACGCCATTCTGGAACTGGCCTATACTATAGCAGATGGATTAGAGTACTGTAGAACTGGGCTCCAAGCTGGTCTGACAATCGATGAATTTGCACCAAGGTGAGCAAATTGAACTCTGATATTGCCTCAACATTAAGGAAATGCAAACAAACAAAGAAACAAACAACAACAACAAATATATATGCATAGGAGCATTTTATGAGCATACAGCAAAAAATGTTGATAAAATGCATTTGTATATGTAAGTATTATACTAGATTCTATTGTTTTATCTGACTGTTTATGAGAGAATAAGCCAATACTGTTTATAATTAAAAATAATTAAAAATCAGAATTAAGTTTGATTATACTTCTGTGTAAATAAGAACTTGTCTTCTGCTATTCAGAGAGCACAATTAACTGGCATGTTTCGGCAAATAATATTAAAATGTGAACATAATGTTTAAGACAGATTTGATTTTATTTTTTCATTTTAAAATGCAGAAGTCACCTATTACATTTTATTTTTTCATCTGTTGCACTTATAAATGTTTTGGAATGCACAGTGCTATTAAAAACATTTTGTTTCAAACACCTTGTTAATAAAATTGTATGAAAAAAGTTAAATGAAGTTTATGAAGTATTTAGATTTGGAGGTCAAAATTAGTCTGATGAGCAATAACTTGCTAAGCTTTGCTCTGGACCAAACACTAGGAATGTAGCATGTGAAAAACATGGCTCTGCCCTCAGAGACTAGTGAATGCTCCTTATATGAGGGATTACTGCATCCTTGTTATGACAGCAGTTTTCAAAATGTGGTCCAAGGACCCCTGGGAGTTATTAAAACCCTCTCCTGAGTCTTAGAGGTCAAAACAGTTTTCATGATTATATTAAGACTTTGCCATTTTCACTTTCATTCTCTCAAGAGTGTGCAGTGGTATTTTTCAGAGACTACATGATATGTGTGATGTAACAGATTGACTGCAGAAGCAGATGTGTGACTCCAGCTATCTTCCTTCAGCCACACATTAAAGAGATTTGCAAAAATGTAAAACCAAGACTCTTATAATTTTTTGTTTTAGAAAAGTATTATTTTTTATAAAAATGTTACTTATGCTAACATGTTATAGACTTTTTATTTCTAAATGAATCAATATATAAAATATAGATAGATATTATCAAAATAAGTAAGTTTTCTTTAGTAATTTTTAAGAGTTAAAGGGAGCCTGAGACCAAAATATTTGAGAATGGCTGTGTTAAGAACTTCCAGCTGGGTGAAAAAGGTGAAGGGATTATGCAAAAAGCAAAAACAAAAAAACACAAATGAACAAACAAAAAACTCATAGACACGGACAACAGTATGGTGATTACCGGAAGGGGGTGGGGGATAAATGGTGATGGACAGAGACTTGACTTGGGGTGGTGAATACAATATACAGCTAAGGTATTATGGAATTTCACACCTGAAACCCAGATAGTTTTATTAACCAATATCACCCCAATACATTCAATAAAAAATAAAGCAAAAACAAAAACTTCCAAGTGTATATCAAGAATTTTTATTATGTTTTAGTTTCTTTACTTAAGGCTCACCTTGTTTTATATAGGGATTCACGACCTTTGTGCCTTTGGGCTCAGGCAAGTAACCTAAATGTATACAGGATATAAGGTAAAAGGAGTGTCGGGTTGGGAACAATTGGAAAAGTATGTACCTAGACCAAATACACAATCATTCTTTTTAAAAAAACTTAATTGCTATTCAAACAAAACAAATTTGTAGTTTTATTCCCTTTGTAGGTAACCCCTGCCTTTGGGTAGTCTTAAAAATGTGTGTGTGTGTGTGTGTGTGTGTGTGTGTGTGTGTCGTGAATAATTCTTTAAGGACACAAGAGGACTTTTTTCCTTAAAAAACACAATTATAAAGTTGTTATGAAGCAAATGATCACAGCTATTTCTTCTATATGCATAAAACTGTACTTTTATATGTTAGGTTTAAAGTTACTGAAGTATATATGTTTGATTTTAATTTAAATTAAGCTGTTTGAAGTTAAAAATCTGACTGTGATACAATTAGTTTTATTTTCCACTTTATATTGTTAACTATAATCAAAATCTGGACTTAACATTACTATTTTAGGTTGTCTTTCTTCTGGGGGATTGGAATGAACTTCTATATGGAAATCGCCAAAATGAGAGCTGGGAGAAGACTCTGGGCTCACTTAATAGAGAAAATCTTTCAGCCTAAAAACTCTAAATCCCTTCTTCTAAGAGCACATTGTCAGACATCAGGATGGTCACTTACTGAGCAGGTATGTATATAATTTAAAGTGTAGAATTTTAACAAAGCTATATATTTTCTTGTAAGCAACATGACACAGTCAGGAAGTAGATTTAAGAACCTATCTACTAATTTTGAAAATAATAATTATTCTGAAGTATAATTCATCCCTGTTTGTTTTTACACATATTAAAATAAATAAAATTGTCTCCCTCTAGTGGTTAGCAGTATAAAATCATTTAAATCTTATTTTTCATGTTTTACTTTTAAAAGGGTAAAAATGTGGTGAGAAGTATAAATCATAACTTAACAACTATTGTTTTAAATAATTTTAAGAGTGAAAATTTATAACATAAAGCTGCCTAATTAAATTGATTTTAAGTATATATATTTTATTATAGGTATATATTTAAATAAGCATGCATGCAAACAGACCATTTAAAAACTATCATCACTTGGGTAATTTATTTTAATTTTATTCTATTAAAATTTTTATGATGTTTTTACATGTATTTCTTTACAAAATAATTTTGATGAATTTTAAAATAATTTATAACTTTAGAGTTAGATTGCTTTTATACATTTAAAAGTGAATAAAACTAATATACTCCATAGTAAATATAACTTCATGTCCTTATAAATGGGGAAATATAGGTTTCGGGGTTGGAAGGAGCTTTAATAATTGTTTTTGTCTTAACCTCCTCATACAACTAAGGAAATTGAAGTTCAAAAAGGTCCATTGTCTTGCCCAAGTCACAATTAGGAACACAATAACTCATTTACTGAGTTCCTGTTTTGAGTATATCTTGTGGTAGATACTTCAAGGTATACAAAAGAATTAGGAGATAGTGAATTATGAGGTGAAGGATGGTACAATCTTAGTAGACAAGGTGTGCATTTATGATAACACAGAAGAGTAAGTACTACAAAGGCAAAAACAACAAATATTTAATATTTCAGGGATTATAAGAGGCAATATCTTAGTGTCTAAGCACAGACTAGACATTATGACTCTTAATTTTAAGTCTGGCTCATTTGCTAATTTGTCTAAATTTATTTGATATGCTGAAGCCTAATGTAGACATTGGCAGAAAAGTATGCAGCAGCCACTACTCAATCATATCATCTTTTATTGCTGTTTTATATATATGTGTGTGTGTGTGTGTGTGTATAATCTCAACTGTTGCCTTGGTTTTCTTTTCATCAACTATTCTAGGATCCTTACAATAACATTATTCGTACCACAATAGAAGCGATGGCAGCAGTCTTTGGAGGGACTCAGTCTTTGCACACTAATTCTTTTGATGAAGCCTTGGGTTTGCCGACTGTGAAAAGTGCTCGAATTGCCAGAAACACACAAATCATCATTCAGGAAGAATCGGGGATTCCCAAAGTGGCTGATCCTTGGGGAGGTTCATATATGATGGAATCTCTCACAAATGATGTATATGATGCTGCTTTGAAGGTCAGTTTCTTCTCTTTGAAACTTTGCTTTCAAGATTTACAGGTTTATAAAGAGATATAGATGTTTTGATTTATAAATAAAATAATTTATAGATTTAAGATTAATAAGATGTTTGATGGAAAAGAAGAATTTTAGATTTGGCTTTCTATTATTTGAAACTGAAACATAACTTAAAAATGCATGTGAATTTGTATTAAAGTATTTTATTTAAGAAGTCGAAAAGACAGCACTGAAAGGCTTATGACAGAAACCCAGTGGTCCTTTGTCCTGTACTTGCTTTTCCCTGCTTCCTGGAGTCAGCTACATCTTTTGTTTTTGTTTTTATCTCCACATTTTAGAATTACAGTAGACCCTCGAGCAACATGGGTTTGAACCTCACAGGCCCACTCATACATGGATTTCTTAATATAAGTATGCAGTCAGCCCTCTGTATTCCTGGGTTTTGCATCCCTACCTGGGAATCTGAGGATGCAGAGTGTCGGCTGTCTGCATTGTTCTATGCCATTGTATGTAAGGGATTTCAACATCTGAGAATTTGGTGTCTATGGGGGGTCCTGGAATGAACCCCCCCTCGTGGATACTGAGGGATGACTGGAGTAAAGTTTTTGGGGAGTCCAAAGATTTTTAACAGTGTGGGGGCTGGCATCCTAAATCTCCATGTTGTTCAAGGTCAACTGTACATGTATATACTGCTTTATTCCATCAATTTGAGACATTATCTGTTGCTTTGCTGCTCTGGTAGTTTAGTATTTTAGCTGATTGATCCCGTTTTCCCCCCCTCATCCCGCACTACTGATATAATTATACCTCAATATCACTTTTTCCCGAAGTCCTCTAATGTGCTCATTTAATTAAGACAGGTTTCTCTTAGACCATTGCTGTCTTTTCACTTCCCTTTGCATTACCCTGGGAATTCCTTTTGTTGCTACTGTGTTAAATCTGCATCCTGAATCCTGTGTCCATCTCTGTTCATTTATCCTTTGTTATTAAATCACATTTCATAGTAGACTAAAATGGTGCAGGGGAGATGAATTATTTGAAAGTTTGGATGTTTGAAAATGTATTTACCCTACTCTCTTATTTGATTGGTGGTCTGACTAGGTTGAAATTATTTTCCTCTTAGGAGTTTATAAGCAAATTTGTAAGCATCGATCTTTTAGTTTTTTTATTCTAGCTTCCAATATTTCCGTTTAGAAATCTCATGCCATTGTCATTCAGGATCTATCTTTCTGAAAATTTGTATTGAGGTACCTTGGTGTGTGTATAGTTCCTCCATGGTACTGGACCTTTGGTAGCCTTTTTCATTTGCCTTCTTTTTCATGTTTTTATAGCTCTGGGAAGTTATCTTGTGTTTTTTTTTTAAGTAATTTCCTCCCTGCCATGTTTCTGTGGTTTCTCTTTTTGGAACTCTTAGTTATCAGGTAGGACCTTCTTAGGTGATACTCTGATGTTCTTATCTGTCCTACAATCGACCTTTGAGTTTTTGTTCTGTCTTCTTGGAAAGTTGTCAACTTTACCTTTCTACTTAATACTTTAAAATTCATATATCATATTTTTAATTTCCAAGCGCTCATTTTTGTTTTCTAATTTTCCCTCTTGTACATTGTACTACTTTGTTTCATTGATGCAGAATCTCTTTTTTGATGTTGCTTTCTTTTACATCCTGTATCGTCTGTTTGCTCTGTGTGCCTTTTGTCTTTAGTCTTATTATTCAGAATGCAGGTTTTCATTTTAGTAAGGCACCTTACCCTAGCCTCTCTCTGTACCTGATGTTTGATAGTGCATTGCCTCTCTAGTTCATTGTCTGTGGACAGTAAACTGCTTCTCCTGATGGAATGGGAGAGGGGTAGTTGCAAACTCTCAAGTAGTCCCCTCTTTTCAGCTTCCTTGCTTACCTTCGGCTTCTGTTGAATCCCAGTACAAACTCCTCTTCCTTGACTTCTTCAGAAGAAAGCATGTTTGACCTCCCTCCTTCCTGCTAAGCCATGCACTATCCCACCACCCTTTCCCCATCAGTTCACTTACGTATGAGGCTGTGATTGAAGGGTTACATGGTTCCTGGTGCCGGTAAACATGGAGCTATAGCATTACTCTGCTGCTCAAACCAAAAGTAGAATTGCATTTTGAAATATTTTTAAAGAGTCTTTCTTTATTTAAGTAACTATGAAAACTTTATTTATGTAACTAAAAATAAAGATTAGAGAATTGATGTTATCTTTAGTTTTCTCCCAAGACCTGAGTGAGAGGTTTGGTTTTATTTTCCAGAATATACTTGTTAGTTTTTCTGTTGACTTTTAAGCAACTTTAAAACACAGAATTTCTTTTTTTTCAATTGAGATATAATTGACATATAACATTGTATTAGTTTTAGATGTGCAACATAATGATTTGAGATATATATATATATATATATATATATAAACTGTCTCTTATACACATCTAGATGTGTATAAGAGACAGACAGAGGACAGGGTCACCTGCAGGTAGGCCAGGCAGATGAGGTTGGCTGGCCCTGGGGTGGGGACTCCCGCTCTTCCTCCGGGCTCCCCTCCTCCAGCAGGCTGGCCTGGGCTTGCCGGCATGGCAGCCACAGAGCACCAAGGAGGGCAGAGGAGAGCACAAGGCCTCCCGAGAAGCTGCCTCAAATCGGGGCACCCATCCTCCAGCCTTTCTTCCCTGCTTGGGAGGCTGTGGAGAGTCACAGAGGTGAGGCAGCCGTCCCGTGGGCAGGGGTGGAAAGGGGTGGAAAGCCAGGAGAAGCACAGGGCAGCCCGACGTCTCTGAAGTTCCCATGACGAGAGAATACCCTTATCATTTAGGTCACCTGGGCAGCCCGAAGTCTCTGAAGTTCCCATGACGAGAGAATACCCTTATCATTTAGGTCACCT